ATAGAATAGAATAGAATAGAATAGAATAGAATAGAATAGAATAGAATAGAATAGAATTCTTTATTGGCCAAGTGTGATTGGACACACAAGGAATTTGTCTTGGTGCAATCATCTGGCTGATTATGTGACAAAACCATAATAATAATAATAATAATAATAATAATAATAACAACAACAACAACAACAACAACAACAACAACAACAACTCCAAATATTGCTGACTACTTCTGCTTGTCTTTGTGTTCTGATAATAATTGGAAACTGACCTGTTGAACATTCTCTTGAAGAAGATCTCCCAGAATCTCAACCAAATCAGAGAATGTTGGCCTTTCTTTGGGATCTCCATACCAACAATTCAGCATGATTCTGTAGCTGCAAAGAACCAATTTTTGCATAAGATTAGTTAGGTACAGATGAAATGAAAAAGCTCTATAAAGTAAAAACCCAACCTTAAACTGGATGCTATACTTGAGACCAGTTGTGTTACTACAAAAGAGATGCAAGCAGTTAGACTATAATTCACCTCAGTCTCCCATACAAGAAGCTCTGAAACCTCCTGCGCATCTATAATTTGTTGATTTAGTATCTTCATTGTTGGTTATATATTGAAGTACTTTGACTCACATTTCTGCAGTAGCATATTCTGGAGCTCTCATCCTGGTGCCATCTTTTAGTCTTTGGCAAAATTCCTCATTGATTTGTACTCCAGGGTAAGGGGAGGCTCCTAAAAAGATGCAGTGGTATAAAGAGAAAGGGGAATTCAAGAAATAGATGGATTCTTGCAGCTGTATCTATCTACTGTTTTGATTAAATGCAGTATAATAAAATACAGGCATTTTAAAAAAATTAGTTCTGTAATGGAATCTATTTCACAATGACTGTTTTGTAGCTACTCAGAAGCCATTAAACAAGATGAAACATCCTCTGTAAAAAGGGTCAGAATTACAAGATTTGTTTGTGGTTGTTCAATAACTACTCAAGACATTTTCAAGCCTTAATTTCTAAAGTTGGCATGATATGGGAATGTTACAAACATTCTCAGAATTAAAAGTAAAGTCCACTTCAAACTAAGTTTGACTCCTAATGGCTTTATGGATTATCTGTGTAATTTCCTTGGCAAGAATATCAAAATGGGTTGTCATTGTCTTCCATGATGTTTTTTAATTTCAAAATCTAGTTTATAGTGCTGGTATCTTTTGTTGGTCTTTCATCCAAACACTATCCAGGATTGATTCTGCATAGGTTTTTTAACTCAGTTAAAATCAGGTAGATGTTGCCATTTTAATTATAGCTGGACCATAATTAAAATCTGGTTTATTACTTTTGATATAGTAGATCATTGACATATGCAGCATCCAGTCATAAGTTTTGTAATTATAAAACAAGTAGAGTGGCAGATGAATTTTGCAACTGATCACTTAACTGTAGGAAATACAGGTGATGGGGGGGAAAATCCCGAAATATGGAGAGTGTTGCAATCTACTTTTAAAATTGTATGCTCATAAAATCATAGCTAATCCCATAAAGAGAACTAATATTTAATACTTACCTAAAGAGAATATCTCCCACAATAGGACTCCAAAGGACCAGACATCACTCTGAGTAGTATAAACTTTGTCAAAGATGCTTTCTGGAGCCATCCACTTGAGTGGAAGACGGGCCTATAGTACAGTGATAGCAAGGTACAGATGTCACAGTGGGGAAAAATAATATTTTAGTCAGATTTTTTTTTAAAAAAACCCAAAGATTCTATAATGGTGTTTGAAGATGGGCAGAAAATACAATAAATAAGAAATTTTCAAGTACCAGGAAGTTGCAATCTGGCATAATCTTATCTGCCTAAATACTGTAGTTACATTTGCTATTAAAAAAACGGAAGTATTTCAAGATAACATTTTAATATTAAGTATTTGTTCTCTCAAAGCACTTTTATAGATTATGGGTTTGCAAGAAAAAAAGTCCTATCTTCTACTTCATAATTTTTTTAAAAGTTGTATCAAGGGACCTTTATCAGTTAATGGAGACAGTGCCTGACTCACAGATTGCTTGCAAGCCCTGCTAAAGGCTATTGAGTCTTTTAGTGGTGGGAAGCAAGTGGTTTCCAATTGATGTTGACTTCCAATTCAATCAACCCCAAATAGTATGTTAATGGCAATGGACTGTAGTACGACAGCTCAGAAATAAGGTCTATAGATTGCACAAAGCAGGCATATATTTTCCATCTGAACTAATACCTAGTTTATATCAAGAAATTACACTAGATAAAACATTTCTCTGCCTCATTCCTTCAGGTACTTTTCTTGGGACAAACATTTCCTCCGCATTGGGATACTGAAAGGACATTAGTAAATAAAATAAATTCAAAATACATACCAGCAATATCTTAATTGGACTAATTAAGTATCTACACAATAGAACTCATTCCACTATGAATTTTTGTCGCCCCTGCTCATGTTTAACACAGCTATATTGATTTTTATACAATAACACTGAAAGATATTAACTGACAACCAACACCAGAAACCAGTTCCTTTTTATCCCAAGAACAACCCAGAACTCACACTGCCCTTCCTGACATAGTCAGGGTCCTTGTAGATATCCCGAGCCAGACCAAAGTCACAAATCTTCACCACATTGTTCTCTGACAATAAGATGTTCCGAGCTGCTAAGTCTCTGTGGATACACTACAGGAAAATGCAGAAGGGGGCAGGGAGAAATCAAAAATAAATGTTAATATAAAATTTTCAAAAAGGACAGAAAAACTGAAAAAAAGAAAAATGCTTAAATCTCTTTCAGGCTTGTCCTCTCAGTGAAAGACAAAAGTAAAAGAGGCAAGAAATCATTTCCAGAAATTACTGAATACCTTATGGTCCCTCTTATTTATTTGCAAAACCACAGCTTTGATTGTAAGAAAAAAAAGTAAGAAATGCTGTTCTGGATCAGATCAAAGGCAATCTGGTCCAGTATTTTGCATCTCATGGTAGAATGGCAGGTGCTTCCAGAATTTCATAAGCAAACATAAGTAAACCTTGCTCTCAATAGCTTTACGCTGTCTCTGCTTGGCCAAGCAACTGAAACAAAATGGCACAGGTGGGACCTATAATAAAACTACTCCTGTTCAATGGTGTGGCAGCCAGTCAGCCAGCTGTGTGTTGCTTTCCCCCCTGCTATTTATACATTCTAGAAGACAGCTGGACAAATGATAAAAAATGCCCAAATGACTATTTCTATGGGAGAGCAGTGTTTGCTGCTCCTGTGTTAGGCATCAATGCTCTACCATGTGAACTAATAGATACACAGAAAAATGTCCTAACAGCTCACTTGGATGGGTTTCATTTCATTGCATGCGTACAAGTGTATTTCCCAACTGAAAGTCAGTTGAGAAGGGGGAGCAATGTTGACTGCAATTTACTGGTAGGCTCTGTCACCTCATTTTGTAGATTCTGACTGCCTGAGGTTGACTCAGCCTTCCATCCTCCCATGGTCAGTAAAATGAGGATCCAGATTGTTGGGGGCAATATAGCATTGCTCAGAGAGTGCTATAAAGCATTGGTGCAGTATATAAATCTAAGTGCTTTTGCTATTGCTATGTGATCTGTGCAGTGGGTAGGAAAACAGTGCCTCTCCTTTATTGGATAACTCCTTCCCAATCTTTAAATCAGTGTTGTTGAACAGATGGCTCAACCCATAGTCAGGCCTTTTGTCAAAATTTGCATCCTACTTCAGACCTGTTCCTGCTCTCACCCCATAAGGAAAGCAGATTTTCTTCCACAGACAGTGGAATCCTCTAACTGCTTTTCCTATTCCCCCCCCCCAAAGTTTCTCTACATTTATTTTCATCCTGTATCATCCTGTGGATTACTGATATTTCTCCCCAATCATAACTATCAAGAGAAGACACATGTTGAGATGGATGGATAGATGGATGGACGGATGGACAGATAGATCACTTACCTTTCTAGAGGCTAGAAACTCCATTCCACGGGCAACTTGAAAGCTGTAGCAGATCAGATCTTCCATTGTCAGAGGGCTTTGCCATAAATCATCCACTGTATAAAAGTGTAAGCAAGAAGGTTACATTCTGTAGGCTGGCAGTGGCAAAGAAAAGGTTGCTTTCCCCAGGCACCAGGATATACTGTACCACTGCATTTGGAGGAGTGGGATGATGTCCCACAGAAATTTTGCTAAGTAGAAAAAAGTAGTGGAATAACTGGGGTCAATTACTATTGTCTAGGAAGAGCGTTATTGTTGGTTATTAGTTAGTGAAAACAAACTGGGTAGCTGACAACTGAAGAACAAAGGCATTGTATGCAGGCAGTAAAAACAAGCAAAACAAAATGAAAATCAAATGAAACATAACATTATAAAAACTTGTCATTACAACCAAATGATGTTCATACCATTCCTTTCTTTCCTATCTCACTCATCCCAACACTTTAAGGAAAAGCTAAATGGTGTTGCTACTTACTGAAAAGGCATACATACTTCTTAAGTAGCACACTAGATGGTAACATTTCAAAGAAGGAACCCGGAGCATACTCACTACCTAATTTAGTAGAACAAGTAGATACCTACAAAGGGAGAGATGGTCTTCTGGATAACCTGGCCTGATGCTATATAGGACTTTTGTCAGGTGTGAAAGACCAGGTCCACACAGGAAGGTTAAATTACCCTGATTTATTGCTAAAAGCCTGATGGATAATGCTCAATGGCACTCAAAGGGAGTTGGACTTAGTTCTCTTGTGGCTATGTAGGAATTCTAGGCTGATCCTCCCTTTTCACTCCACTCCTATTGTGCCACCCCTTTTCCTACAGTTTTAAAGGTGATAACCATCACCTTGAAAACAGAGTCAGTGCAACTGATGCAGCAATGGTATAGCATGGACAATCTGAGAGGTGCTCAGTACTATACAAGTGACCACATTTTGGACCAATGCTGACTTCTGGGTGAACTTCATATAAAGCACATTGCAGTAATCCAAATGAGAAGTGACGAAGGCTTGAGTTCCGGGCTCACAGTCCACAAAAGGGCACAATTGGCACACAAGATGAATTTGTACAATGAATCTCCCCTCAAGCAGCAGCTGGGAGTCTAAGAGGACCCAGTTCTGTACAATTCAAATGAAAACAATGGAGCTTAAACATAGCTGCATGCTGAGTAGCAAGTGCAATAAGTGCTGAGAACATGGCCAACCTTTACACAAGTTATAGGATATCTCTTTATTAGATATCTATCCATTAATTGAAGTAAATCTTTTATCTGCCAGGAGTTAGCAGTTTAATTATGAGAGATTTAACAGCAAATAAACATGAATTCTGTCAAAGAAATTGAGACTGAATTGAATATATCTTTTGGGGGGAGCTTTCTGCATCTGTCTCCTGATTGAAAAAAGAAATACATGAGCAGTCAGATAACAAAATTGCTTGCCTGCAGGAAAACTGTGTGTTTCTTTTTGCCCAGGTGCTGCAAACGATTAAGCCATGGAATGATACTGATCTTTTGTAGAATCATATATCTTTGCCATGTGACCTTAGCTAAAACGGTATATATTTCTGGAAAGTTTTATATATTCATGAAGTGACAGACAATGGTGTGCCTGAAAAGGCGGGAGATTGTTTTGATAAAAGGGAACTGTCTCATACAAAATATCTGGGTCTCTAAGAGAGAACTGGGAAGGGCAAAATGTTAAACTCCTATTTTTGAAACAATATGAAAGAAAATATATTTTTATGAGTACAATCCTGCTTATTTAGCATGTTAGCAAAGTTATTGTAGTTACTATTCATATTGGTGAAATTTCTTGAATATATATTTGAATAAAATTGCTTCACCTGTACAACTAGAAATAATTGTATTCATTAATACATTCATTAATAGTGCAACTATTATCAAACTTAGTTATAAAACAGGATAAGCACAGAGGTTTTTGTCAGCATTATGCATATACTCTTACCCAAATAAAAGCCTTTCTCCTCTCTCTCTCTCTCCCCCCTCCCTCCCTCTCTCATACACACACTTTTTTCATCAAATTAAGAATTTGTAAAGAAGCAAAGGATTAGCCACAAGGTATTTCTGAAACTGAATTTAATACATAAATCTTAAATTCATTCAGTGCTCAATAGTCTGAATTAATTTGCCCCCCCCTTCTAATTCTGTCTCTTTCAAATACCTAAGAAATTGTTTCAGGGGGTGCTGCCACTGGAATTCTAAGTATTTTCCCTCTGAATTTTGGAGATATATTTAATAAAAAATGAAGAGGATATATTATCAAAATTTCTGAGGAAGCACATGAAGCGAGTGTCAAGAAAACCTCACTCCTATTACAGGTATACCTTCACTCATTTTCGTTTATGGCATACACTATATAATTTCATAACATGATCCCCTGAAAATTCTGGGTCTTCCTTGACTTTCTTGTGACCTAATTCTTATAAAGAAAAACTTGAAATACCGGTAATGACTCACTCTTTCGCTCTATCCTATAAACCGGCTCTCCATTAAAACATTCAGTATATTGCTTTCCCATTGTTTTCTAATCGCTAAGGTTAGGATAAATAGTAACCCACATTATTTACCATTATTTTTCAAGATTCATTAGGACCATGATTTAAGAAACCCTGCACAATGAATTATAGTCCTCTAAAGGAAAAACAGTCGGACACTATTTTTACCTTCTTGTATGAAATGTGGTGATGATGCTGTCTGACTCTTGTTCATTAGAAGCCTGTTAAGAATTGCACTGTCACGGGTGCAAGACCGGCTTCTTTTGTCTGCTTGAACGGCTTCCACAATGGAACGAACTTGGATGCGCAGCCTTGGGGATTTTTCCTAAGACAACCGGATGACAAAAGTTAGCAATAGCACTAACACTTATATATTGTTTCACAGTGCTTTACAGCCCACTCTAAGTGGTTTATAGGGTCAGCATATTGAACCGTCCCCAACAGCCTGGGTCCTCATTTTATGGACCTCAAAAGGATGGAAGACTGAGTCAACCTTGAGCCTGGTGAGAATTGAACTGCTAAACTGCAGGCAGCCAGCAAGCAGCAGAATTAGCCTGTAGTACTGCACTCTAACCACTGAGCCACCACGACTCATTAGGAGGCAAATTATTCAATCACTAGGGATATTTCTTCTCATATTAGATCAAACAGTCCAAACACACTAAACTTTATTGAGCAGATAAAAAGGTAGAGTAAACGTGAGAACAGCAGACATACAAGTTACAACACAGACGAGCCATACAGTTTATTAGGTGGGTGGTGAAAATAAGAAATCCCTATTTGTATTTTGTAGTACTTCTAAATGCCAGTCCTCAGCCCAGACAAATGGGAAGGGTTGGAGAAAGACTTAGTGGCCTATTCCAATTTTATTATTATCAAGAAGGGGTATGCTGTAGACTCCATCGGCAAAGAATTTCAGCTGGCAGGGTCCAGGAGAAAAACGTTTTCTGCTATAACTCACAACCATTTGGAACACTGTGCTTCTCGAAATGAGATCAGCCTCCATCCTCTTGGCCTTCCAAAAGACCCTGAAAACCTCAACTGGCAACTGGCTTGGGGGTGCCAATGGGGTATCCTATTTTAATAAAATAGGAAGATTCCCCCTATAGAATATTTGCATATTGATCTCTTTTATCAAAATTTTGATTAATTTTAATGCTTCTTAATATTATATATTTTAATGTTTTTACAGGTCTTACTGTTTTGTATTATGTTTTCATAATGTTGTAAGCAGAGGGGGTATTCAGCAGGTTCTGATCAGTTCTGGAGAACCGGTAGCAGAAATTTTAAGTAGCTTGGAGAACCAGCAAATACCACCTCTGACTGGCCCCACCCCCATCTATTCTCTGCCTCCCGAGTCCCAGCTGATCGGCTGGGTCTTTTGTTTCCCTGCACAGGAGAACGGAGCTGGAAAGCAGGTTAGTGGGGTGGGGAGGGAATGGGATTTTGCAGTATCCTTCCCCTGCCACGCTCACCAAGCCATGCCACACCCACAAAACCGGTAGTAAAAAAAATTTGAATCCCACCACTGGTCTTAAGCCACCCAGAGTTGTTTGATAGTGAAATGGACAGCATATATGGACAGCGTGCATAAGCGAGGGGGCGTGCATAAGCGCACCAACGTGCCTACCGTCCCTGTCCTATTGTTTCTCTTATTCTTCTTTTATTTTTCTTATATGTACCCATTTCATGTATTCACAACTATGTATACACTTATACTTATTATCTTGTAAACAATTGGCAAATCAAATAAATAAATAAATAAATAAATAATAAATATATAGTTAATAAATAAATAGATTAATATTGTGTGGGGGAAAATTCAGATAAAAGCTTGAATATGGTACCAAAGGTTGGACTTCTAGGGAAGAAAGTATCAAATGTGTTATTGGGAAGACCAACGTGTTACAAGTAGTCTGGGAGATAATGAGACAGCAGCAGAAATCCCCTTGAAGAGCTTGAATGCTAATGAAGCCTACGATGAAAGGCACCATCTGTGCTGGAACAAAATGAACAAGGCTGTACGATTGGAATTGCAGCGTAAGAAGTATGAACCATGGGAAGCTGGATATCACCAAGAAAGAAATGGCTAGGATCAAAATAGGCATTCTTGCCATCAACTGGACTGAAAACAGCTATATTCAGCTAGATGAGTTGATAGTATCCTATCCCAGAAATGACAGCATCAGAAGGAATGGAGGAGTACTGATAACAAGCAAGAAAATCATCAAATAAGTTGAAAGCTTCCAAATAGTAAATCATAGTATAATAGAGACTTGAATCAGAGCAAAACTTCTGAATGTCATCATTTTCCAAATAAATGCACCTACAGATGCATCCAAAGAAGAAATAGAGCAATTGTATGCTAACATTTGAAAAGATTACAGAAATTCTAAAAAAGGTACATTGTATGTAGTATAAAATTATGGAAATTTCAACCTACAAATCTGAGAAAACGGAGAAATCGTTGACAGATTTTGTTTAGGAGAAAGGAATGCAGTAGGCGATCACTTGGTGAAGTTCTACCAAGAAAATCAGCTGAGGATCACCAGTAGCAATAGCATTTACAGCCCTCTCTAAGCAGTTTACAGAGTCAGCATATTGCCTCCAATAATCTGGATCCTCATTTTACTGACCTCAGAAGGATGGAAGGCTGAGTCACCCTTGAGCCTGGTGAGATTTGAACTGCCAAATTGCAGGCAGCCGGCAGACAGCAGAAGTATAGCCTAAGATACTACATTCTAACCACTGCGCCACCACAGCTCTTGTACATTGTTTACATTGAATAAATGTTTATTCAACCATTACACTATTTATACACATGGATTTCACCAAATGGATTGTACCACAGCCAAATCAATTACACCTTATGCAGCCAGTAATGGAAAAGGATATTGGATAATCTGGATTTTCTTAATGATCACATGAATTGTTTAACCACTGCAGTGACTCCCTTTATGGCCATCGTAAAATGGTTGTAAAATTGAATCCCATCACGTGACCACCTTGACTTATTATGACCCAATTGTGATCATAAGTTGAGGACTATCTGTACTGTGCACATCTTGCATAGCAAATAGTATCGAACGAAGAGATATTAGGCTTCACCAAACCAGTGATGTCACTGGAAGTTTTCCAAGCTAAGAGTACCTCATTTTAGTCAAGTCCTGCAATCAAATTGCTTAGCTAAATCAGCTATGGTTGAAAAAAATTGAGGTGGTAAAGGATTGATATAACAGAAGAAACATTAAACTAATTTGTATAACATCAGGAAGAATGGAGAGAGCTAATCTATAAATCTGAAATTGGACGAGACTAAACAAATAAAGACAAATACAGAGGTCTATCTCTTCCACTCTCCCTTTTTGCAATGCTGACTTCTACATGCCTTTGGCAGCCCAGAAAACTGAATAAGAGGACAAGAGTCCCTTTCCACTGTTGTTCCCATGCAACAGACATTTAAAGACATACTGCTTCTGAACCTGATTGAGGAAGGGGACAATTTAAAACAGTGGAGCAATAAATGAAAAAAAAAAAATTTGTGTATTCTTCTTGCTTCCACAAGCCTTCCTACTTTGCCCTGTCAGCTGATTTTCTTTTTGCAAGATTTCCAGATTATGAAAATCACAACTAGGGAAGGCAATTTGAAAGCAAAAGTTATGGTTTCTCATTATCATAATCATTATTCTTCCAACAGGACATTGTCTTCAGTGACAAATTATGTCCTACCATTTCATGTAGTTAGTTTCCCATTCAAATATCACGCAACAGTGACAGGAGACTTTACATAAAAGTTTATACATGCAACATGCTTCCAATTTCATTGCTAAATATTCTTCAGAAGATCATCATCTTCTCCAAAGATAGGGATTAGAAACAGTGCTAGGAAAACATCAGTTACATACCCCGTAAGGGCTGAATCCTTCCCGTTTGGTTCGCAAATAATTGGAGAGGTTTCCATATTTGCAGAATTCAACAATTACCATGAGGGGACCTGCAAAAGAAAAGCCAATGGAGAAAGGAAGGAAGGGAATTGCACAGAAAATGTTAATCATCCATTTCATATTGTTGGACTTTCACTTTTCACCCAAGACATTTCTTCAGTTCAACTTTTAGAACTGAAGAAACTTCTTGGATGAGAAGCATGATGTTTTCAAAGGAAAAAAAACCAAGAAGGTGCAGTTGCCTTTCAGAAAAAGCATCTTTGGAACACAGAAAAAGTAATGAACTGTAACTGTCTTTCGAGGGGTGGTCAGTTGGTTGAGTGAAATATTACCAATAATAATTAGCAGCAACTTTGCAGAGTTTCAGTATCAATAGTTTATTTAAAATGTTTATATAGCCACCCATCTTATGGCAACTCCTGGTAGAACTTTATATCTAAAGGAATTGTTTTATTGTTGAATAGAGCAATGGTCCCCAATCTTGGCTCAGCCCGGCGCCCGTGTGAGTGGCAGGCGCACATGCGCATGCACAGCTCCATTTGTGTGAGTGGCGCATGCTCGTTCTCTGCCCATGGGAATGGAGCTATGTGTGTAAGCGAGGATGTTTGCCCTCGCACACAAAGATCCACTTGCCTAAGCAGCAGGCTCTTGCGCTCATGTGTGAACAAGCTCTGCTTGTGCAAGCAGAGGACGCTTGAGCGGAAAGTGCTTGTGCTTGCCCACAAAGTTCCACTCGCATGACACAAGCGCCCACTGCTCATGTGAATGGAGCTTCACATGTCCACGCTCGCCCATTTCTTCCAGCTCAATTTTGAATAGGCTGCAGCCCGGGAGTTGGGGACCTCTGGAATAGAGCACACTCCCCTGCAAATCTGCATGAGTGCAATTTTTTTGACATCAGAACTTGTGCTTATTCAAACAAAAGGATTTTGTAGCATTGCTTTTATTTTTCCCATTTGCCACTCAATACTGACGAAGCATATTTACCATTAGGTTTGGTGCAAGCTCCCAGGAGATTTACCACGTTCAGATGGTTTCCTATGTGAATGAGGATCTTCAGTTCTGACATGAGAGCCTTATGCTCACTTGCAGTAGCTCCCTCTGAAACAAGTCTAGCTTCAGTTATACATATCAGTATTAGTCTTTCAATCATTCAAAGCTATTTATATTTAATTTTCAGATGAAAGGATAAAAAAACTTCTACATTACATAGGGAGAACAATTCATTGTAAACAAAAGAACCCTCTCTTCATGCATCCTGTTTTTAAAGTATGTCTTTGCAACAATATGCAACCTATTGAATAAGGCCCTTTATTTATATGGATATTGTGCCAGTACAACAAAGCTTTTTTTCTTACGGATATTTTATTCTTACATCAGAACCTTAAATGCACGTACTTGGGACTAAGCCTCACTATGAGTTGGGATTTGCTTCTGAAAATAGAGGATTGTACTGGAAAACCACCATAGCGCTGAGATCTGGTAGTTATTTACTGCAGCACAAGTCAATAGAAATGTGTGGGGGAAAAAAAATAAGTAGCATACAGAGGGGACAAGATCTTTAACCCAACTAACAAAATTATTGACCTAAAATCTATTTTGATTGCTTTTCATAAATACAGATGGGCAACCTATAGTGACTACCATCAAGTAACTCCCCCACACCCAACACCTCAGAGCCAAAGTGCTCATGCAGTGTAGCTTTTTGGCCCAATTAATTTGATTGGTAGAAAGTTACAGAGATAGCTTCACCCACTTCTGGTTCTGATTCTGAATCTAGCCACCATTTTTGCTAATCCTCCTAAATTGATTTTTCTCATGCATCAATGACTCTTCACAGGAAAAAGTATTTATGATCCAATTACATAATACTGCTCTAATGATCAGTTCCTTAGTAGTAATGAAAGCATTACTACAGTGAGACTGTTGTGCATATCTATGTTTCAAATTTATAGGAAAAAACAGGTACATTTACAAACTTCCATAAAAATTAATTAAGCATGCAAATTCATGATATTCTCTAAAACATGTTTGTCCCTGGGCTATAAAATATTTTTAAAGAAAAGATTTACTGTAAATTTATTTACTTTTAAATCAATTCATACAATATGGACTTGAAACTCTTGTCCCATTTTGATTTTTTGCTTTTAAGTTTGTTAATTGTGGTTTGGTTAGGACCAGTACAGTTTGAGGTTGTAAATACGATTCTGAATTATAAGCCAATACTTTAGAATCTATTATTATATGAAGCAGTATATAATTTTACTCTTTTATAAGGGAAGTAATGTGTCATCCTGGATTTACAATCTTAGATTGATGATATACAGTCACTTGCTGCTTATGAATGTATATTAATGTAAGGGAAAGATTAATCACTATTATTCTATGTGATTGAAGTTTAATGCTGTGTTTTAAAACTGAGTTGTTACACACACTCACACACATATAAAATAATAATAAAATTCTGAAGCATATTGCTTCAGCTTAAGGCCATGATAAATATATTATGACAGCTCAATACAGGGATAGCTACAAATGGATGGATGTATAAATAAATTGAAATGATTACTGCAAAATCTAGTTCCATATCAATACTATTTATAAAGACATCAAATTTCACCTCAGATCTCTGTGACTCAGTAGCAATTTGCCATCATTTTAGTTCTAATTTCAAATCAAATCAAAACAAAACTAATCAAAACAATCATTTATTGTGTCTGTAATATCAGTCATCTATTATAAATAAAAATTATATAAGCTAACACATAAACACCCGTAAATGTTTGATTTAATTTCTGATTTAAAAAAAATTATATATACGTGGTACATTAACAGAACAGAAACTCAAAGTAGCGCCTTAATTGCCCCTCAGCTTGGAATTCTAACTATAAACCCTAGGACATTAAAACAAATTTAAAACTTTTTGATACACACTGAAGCAGATGGAATAAAAACTTCTTGGATCAAAAACTAGCAATGCTGGTAAAGAATACTCTGTTTTTTCCGTCAACAGCCACTGTACAAAAAATGGCACTTAAACCAGAGCAAAACCACAGTGTCCTACTGAAGCAGATACTGATACTACAAATACTGAATTGCAATAAGTCTTTTTTATTTTCAATGATTGAAAGATATAATCTTCGATCAGTGAAGATGCATCAGCATTTTATGATCATCTCTAATATAATATATAATATTCAGCTCCCAGCTCTTTTACGCAGGGACTCAGCAGTGTTATTTTAGTGCAGATTTTGGACTTGATTCTCTACATGATCTCCTTCAAGTCTGATGGTTAGTAATTAGTATTACTAATTTGTATTAGTAAATTTTGTAATAATAGCGGAAGCAATACAGGCAGACATGATGATTTTTTTTCACAAAGAAAAGCTCAAAACTCCCAGAAAAATTAGAAATACCACAACAAGGAGAAAAATAACCCTCTACAGTAGCAGTAACACTTTTCTAATTTCAGTGGAACAGTGACAATGGATGGAGCATTGCTTTAAGACCAAACTCTAATTACTAAAAGACCCTGATTCTGTTGTAATAGGTATTACTCAATGCCTAGCCCTTTGAAATAGTTTCCTTGGTTTTCCCTACCCTAATTCACATTGAGGTTAGGTTTTAGAATCCCCACAGAGAATTAAAATAAATAGAGATGTAAAAGCTGCAATTTAAAATGTTAAGTTGATTAGAAAAATCTGTTAGCACTTTCAAGTGCCTTAAGCCTTTTTATAAAATAAGATTCTATCAATATTCCATTATAGTACTTAGGGCCGAAGACATTAATCAGTTGTATTAACAGCTAAGCTACAAATAAGATATTCTGTTCTGTTAATTAAAATATTAAAATATCTTGTCTCCAACCATCTTTCCTTCATGTTTCTTCTTTTTACTTTTAACCCGACAACAATTATTTCTGGTAGTTTTACGGCACACAAACCCTCAATGTACACTATGCCGCATTTAGGATTTTGAAAAACGGAAAGAATTTATGTAGTTCTCTTGTTCCTGAGCAAGCACATCCAAACAGAGCAGAATGTTTGGTCTGTGACCTCAGAACTGTTAGACACGCCTCAGAAGTCATGTCTCCCTGTTGGAGTAATTGAACGACAATTTCTATCCATTCTGAGATAGGAAACACCAGAATTCCTAAGACAGGCATATAAGTTTAAAATTATGACACTCAAGTTAGCTAATAATTTAGTGCTTGCTGGATGGTAATCTACACACTTCTTGTTCAGAATCAGGCTATGCATTTAAGGAATTGCTCTCAATTTGAGTGTTCTGCTCTCTGAAGTCTAGTATATAGTATGCTTTCTTCAGTGTTCTGGGACATGAACACTATTTTGCTTTGTAGAAATGATGAACTATTGTGATGTTCTTTAATGAAACATCCAGAAATCATTATCGAAACATCATTTACAGGACAACTTATTTCAATTAACTCATTTTATTAGGTATTTATAAGTTGAATAGTTGGCTACAAGTGACTGCTTCCTGACCAATAATTGAAAGCTCTGTTGGGGAGAAAATTTAACAGATTTGAAAAGATGATTTTAGTTATTTGAAATTCAATGTTCACAAAAATTCTCATTTGTTTGCTAGATTTCTATCCTATCTCATGGAGACAGTGAAATATTATTTTAGTTCAGTAAGATCAGATTTGTGACTTCTCTTAATCAAACCACAGTTGAACATTCAAGAACGATTGTTAAAATCATGGGGAAATTGTCTTCCAGAAACAATTAGTATCTTGATGGATATTTCCAGACAGAGCACCAGTATTCTCATATTTATCCATTTATTTTGCCTACCTTTCAGCATTTTAACTGCCACAGTTTCACAGCTGTTGCTTTTGTTAATTCCAAACGCAGAGGCTTCCATTACTTTCCCAAAAGCCCCATGGCCCAGGACTTTACCTGAAAAAAAGTAAGAGGGTGCAAAGCAGGTTTTAAAAAACCCAGAGTGCAATTGGAGGAATTGATATAACTATTCACAATGACTTGAATGAGACTCAAACAAAACAGGAAATCGAGACAACAAAGAAATAAAGGTATGAAAAGGAAGAGGAAATAATGGCATTTTCACCATCTACAGGTGGTGCTGCCTTTTCACAGTAAGGGTACGGAGAGGAAGTGAGAAAGAGGCAGTGACAACAAAGCAAAGGAAGGAAATCACTAGCTGAAGCGGGATGTCATGTCTTGCTTTTGAAAAGAAAATACCAGAAAAGTGAGGGCATTAGACTGGCAAAGATGGCACTTCAATAACTGCTGTTTCCACTGTCCATATACCTTTGGGTAGACCCACCCTGGCTGTACGCATACTGCAATCCAGAACACAGTGGATGTTGGGCTGGGGCCAGGGGTGGGATTCTACCGGTTCTGTCCACTTCTGTAGAACCGGTTGCTATGAAAAGCAGCAAACAGAGAGCATACATAGAACCGGTTCTATGTCTGCTGATGTTTTGGTCCACCCGCCCGCCCGGGCTCTGACCTGACCTTTATTTCCTGCGTTTTCAACCGCAGCTGCTTTGTGCGACACAGCTGCAGTTGAAAAAGCAGGAAAAAAGTGCTTTTCCAACCACTGCGCACCCGCATGCAGCGCTGCTCAGCTGTCCAGGCAGCTAGACGATGACAATATACACGCGTGCAAAATGTAAAATCACCGAACCAGTCGTTACACCGATCGGATCCCACCCCTGGTTGGGGCAACAAAAACTGTAAATCTTACTGTTGTTACAGTACGGCTCTACTTGCGGTACATGCCCTTATCCGCAATCAGAGTCCCCATGATTGCTATTCCTCTCTCACCAGCAAACACAATATTTTTGTGTACCTAATCGAAGCCTCTCCCGAGGAAATTCCCATTTGCTGGAATCATAGGTCAGGTATTCACACTGTTCTTCCAAAGGGACTTCATTTGGATTCATGATAATGGAAAGGTAGCCTGTCTTGATATCAGCATGAGCAGGCTGCAACACAAGAGAAAGATTGTGAAAGACTAGATTGTGGTCATTTTGTTTAGTTCTTTGAATCCTGATCCTTGACACTGGCTCTGCTTGTCTTAGCAAAAAGAAAAATGGTTCTGACGTCCAGTCACTCTATATAACATCTGCTAAAAACTGATTCATTGTGAGAATTTTTGTCCTATTAAGTTTGCTATACTTTATTTACAAACAAACAAACAAACAGCATGAGCAAATGTCAGACTAGGGGGCTCTATTTGGTTCTTTTCCACAGCAAGGCTAACCTCATTCAAGGCTGCCAGCCATTTTTTTCCCTGATAAAAAGCTGATAATTTTTGCCTGAAGGAGAATAAAAGCATGACAGTATTGGAATGGGACTACAGAAATGGCTATCCTATGTTATCTTCCCCAACAAGATGCCTTTCGGATGTATTTGCTTATATTGAATAATAATAAAATATCGTTCTGATTTGAAAGTTGGAGCTTTTTATGATTCTGCTTGCCAATACACCAAATCAAACATGCTAGAAAGAGGATGGAAAAGAAGCCTTACTCTCTTGATATTACAGAAGATGAGGATCAAGAGAATCCAGAAGAAGATGGCAATAACCCCAGTTCCGATTAAGATTACAATTTCGACATTGGTCCTGTCATCTGAGCCTATAGGTGAGGAGAAACATGAACAAAAGAAATAGAAGAATGATTAGAGCAGGCATATAACAAAACAAGGATACACACAGAGAGAAAGCCAACACACAGAAAGAGCCAAGGAGGAATTGTTGGATATTTTCCATGTTTTCTTTTGATTGGGCTAATTAGGCATAACCTTTTGGGATATAAATGGTGGAGAATGAAATTTGTTTTATTGCCCCAGTATGGCAAAAGGCCTTCCTTCCTTCCAAATTGTTTACCTTTCTTCTGCTGCTGCTTTATTTCCATATACACCAATCTCTCTATAAAATCAGAGGACTGAAATTAGTAATAGTACCTTCTACAGAAACACTGGCAGAGGAATTCACACAACCTTTGGCATTGCAGACACTGCAAAGGTAAAGACCAGCATCTTCTTCTCTCACCCTTTGGATACTGAGCCTCTGATTGGAATCTGCCAAGTCAATCCCTGAAACATGGAGGAAAAGAAAGGTATTCGGTTATGAATAATAGCATGTAAACCAACACCAGTCCTTTGTACCTTCATTCCTGAATTTATATACTATTTCAGGTAGCTGATTCTAAGCACCAGTGCTCATTGTTGGACCTTCCTTCCTTCCTTCCTTCCTTCCTTCCTTCCTTCCTTCCTTCCTTCCTCAAGTTTATATCGCTGCCAATCTCATGAAGGTGACTTTGGGTGCTACATACAATAAAAACTGAACAATTAAAACATAACTATAAGTAAAACCACAGGAGGGTATCTTCAAGGTCCTATATGCAACATAGTCATTTCATGGACTCCCTAATACCAAATTAAAGTTAATTTCTGAAAAATCAGTAGAGTTGAGGCCAATCTCTCTCTGGGGGTGGGGATAATGTTCCACAGAGCAGCTGCTTGCCTCCTGTATCCCGTCAAATGCCCCTCCAGCTTAATCTGATGGGAATGGGAAAATGTATTCAGGAGAGGGGGTCCTTGACATGACTTAGTCCCATGCCATAAATGTCTTTAAAGGTCAAAACCAGCACCTTCAACTGAACTTTAAGGAGATTGGCAACCAATGCTTCTCTGGAACAGATGCATTGGTTGATGTAACGCAGGGGTCTTCAAGCGTGACAGCTTTAAGACTTGTGGACTTCAACTTCATCCTCCAGTCATGTTAGCTTAGAAATCCTGGGAGTTGAAGTCCACAAGTCTTAAGCTTGCCAAGTTTGAAGTCCTTGATGCAGTGCTGGAAGTACACATAACTGCCTGCAATGCCATATTTTGCATCAGTTGAACTTTTAAGGTTCTAGATATTCATCAAAGGCAACCCCCATGGAGAGTGCATTAAAATAGTCCAGTGCTTCCAAACCTTTTCCTTCATTATCCAAAACTGCTAAACAGAAACTTTTTTTTACTTAATGTAAGTAAAATCTTTTGAGTCAATTTAAATATCCAATCTTTTGTGATTGGATAATAGGTTTGTGTGTCATTACCTAAAGAAAAGCCACTTTTACCTGGGTTTGAGAAACACTATCTGTTTGGAATGTGACCACAGCATGAGCAACTGAGACAAAACATTACTATTAGTAGTAGTAATAGTACTAATAGTATTAACCTTACTATTGGCACTTGGCAGTTTTAAAACCATATGTTCCCATACTAAAGTAATATCTATAAAACACTAGCATCCATCCATTTGGATGTACTTAGGAAACAATTCACATAGAAGATAACATGCTTTTTTCAAAGTAATAGCAATATGCATATAATAAATTACATTTGCTAATGTGAGAGTCTATTCTCATATGATCCGAAGAAAAGAGCCTGAAAAATTGCCAAAGCAAGAATAAACAGAAATTAGATCTTGCGTCCAAAAGAGGAGGTCTTTTTCAAACTTGGTGCAAATTTATTTTCTCTTTTGTCTAAGAATTTAATTTAGATGATGTACCTTGAAAGCACCAGGTTGGTAAATGCTGCTTTTATGTATGCAAATAGTTTATTTGGATTGCTGCCCATATTTCAAGCATGGACATTAATGTATTTGTAGGAAAGGGAAGGTTCAAAGAAACTGAAGGAATAAATTCTGAATTGCCTGTTTGTTGCTTGGAGCTTTTCACACACTCCTCACAATAATTTATATTTTTTTCTACATTTTTCAGGTTCTATGTACTAATTATAGATATTTTTTTCTTATACATTGTTGTATAAACTAACAGGTATATGTGAATGATTTTGAGGATACACTGTAGCACCAGGTGTTTGTCCTTCCTTCCTTCCTTCCTTCCTTCCTTCCTTCCTTCCTTCCTTCCTTCCTTCCTTCCTTCCTTCCTTCCTTCCATCTTGAATGGTTTGAAACTTTCAAGCTTCTGCATTTCCAGTCATAGCTGTGCAAGTATTCTGTCCACAAATACTCCATTCCTTAAACCCATGAAACTAACCAGCCGTACCTGAGACTTTTTCAACCAGCTTTTCATCTTTATACCAGTTGATGTTTGGAATGTGCACACCATCCACCTTGCAGCGCATCTCTATAGAATCACTCACATTCACCAGGATGTTTGACAGGTTCTGTTTCAACTTGGGCATCTCTAAAGCTGAAGCAATGATATTAAAGGAACAACGATGAGATACAAGAAATGTGAGAATAAAGCACAGGTGCTCTGTACAGGGAGAGCTGAACACTTTCTTGAAGAGAGCATGTTACAAATAGCATAAAAATAGAAAATAAAAAAGAACCCTGGCCATGGCAAATCAAAGCAAAGATTGCTCTTAATCCATAAAGCATTTGTGCCATTTCTACTATGTGATAAAAAGAGGCCAATTAAAATCTTCAGGTGATTGAGATATTAATTTACTTTGAAAGCCAACATAAATACAACCTTCCTGAACACCATAACAGGCTGGGTTCTTCTAATAATTTGTATAGCATTTTTTCCTAAAAACTGGAACATCTGGCTTATTCCAGTTATCCCTGGCACTGTTTCAATCTCAATATGCAATTTTTCCTCTCCAAATACTTCTCTGATTGATTTTTTTTTTACTGTAGTTTCTGGGCACGACTGGCTTATGTTGTTTCAATCTAGTAGTAACATTATAATTGTTACCAATGTAAGTGGCAGGAAAACAGAACTTGTTTTACAATATTTTCCCTTATGTTCTCTTTTCAAATTTGCAGGCAGGAAATCCATGGTTGCTCTTTTTTCATTGTGCATCTACCCAACTGCATAAATATTAAATATGACACAATATTGTTTCTAAAACTGCATTCTGGCTCAGCTGAAGTAAGCTAAAACAGCAACATCAATGGGTTCAGGAAAATTGAAAAGTCAATGGATTCTACTGCACGCCTAAGTGTCTATTACCCAACTTTTTTTAAAAAAAAAAAAGCAAAATAAAATAGCAATTTCTTCTTTTCCCCCTGCAATTACTGCCTTATAGACAACCTGTGGCACGTGCACATACTATACATACAAATGTGGAAATACATGCTACATATTTCTCTTTCACACATGGATAGCATTCATTAATTATAACACAACATTAGTTTCCTTTATAAACATGGGAAATATTGTACCACTTTCACTGTTGGTGATTTTTTAAAATATATCTGTTGACTCACATCTTCTAAATGTATATTTTCTAAATGTATATTTTCACTATGTTTTTCTCCTTCAGTTAGGATTGATAGCCAACTTTGAACTATGATTTTGTGAAGCAAACATTCTAGCTTGTCACTAACATTATCAATGAAGTTATCATGCTTTAACAAAGCAGGTAAATGTGTTAGCATTGTGCTAGTGTTATTCACAATTCTGCATAAAAATATGGGAGCATTTCTTCTTATGAAATAACACTTGAATAAGAAATTTAATAACTCTATTTCCAAGCAAGTCTCCTCAGAATAATCTGAATCCAAATGATAGCCATTTTGGGAAATGGTGTAACGCTGGACATTTAAGATCACAACTATTCACAAATCACCAGACCTACTTTGAAATAATGAGGGAGACATATTCTGTACTTGGACAACATTTTATTTGTCATTTCAGCCATTACTTTTTTCCTCAGCATAGCTACTGCTATGAGGACTCAGGTTATTTCCATCAAAGAAATCTAATTCCATCTGCCTCAAGTCTCCAAGAATTATCTATGTTCCATAAAGTACCTGGAGAGAGAGAGAGATCTATAACCCAGAGATTAATTTCAGGTCATTTCAATCCAGAATAAATCTGATTGGTTAGAATTCTTCACAGTGTTGCCCTTGTTTTGCATTAGCCAAATCTGCATGTTACAGTGCATCTTTCAGCCCAACAAGGTTTTCCCTATTAACTTGACTTTTTCAGTGGTCCTTACCATGTACAGAGATATATCTTTTGTGGCAGTGTTTTTCATTGTTTTCTCTGTTTTGCACTTCACATACATAGTCTCCTTCATCTTCTAGAGAGATACTTGGGATGGTGAGTGTCAAAGCAGCATAATTGGAGTTAGGTTTGAAATTCAATTCACCCTGCAGCTTCATTGCATAATGGTGGACATTCTTGCAATCCAGGACTAGAGGGTTGCCTTCTTCATAATTTAATCTTGAGAGATTGAGCCGGTACCACTGCAGGTTTTCGTAGGTATAGTTATCGGCATTGCAACTTAGTCTCAGGTCTTGTCCCTCAATGGGCTCCTCGGAAGGCTCAGACTCAATTTCAAATCCATTTGGTATGGCTGCCAAGACAGCAAGAAAAGAAAACAAATATTCAATCACTAAAACAGATGTGGTTTTACGAATGCTAAAATGCCTGTTCCCAATTCTGCTTATACAACACTGCTGCCCTTATTTACTTTGGGCTACGTGTTTTACAATTGTAGCAAATCATTTAGCATTTTATACATTTGTTTTAATGCACGACCAATCAAAGATCTCTGAAATTTGGGCGTCAAATATTCTGGTTGCACTGCGGCTTTGCATTGTACACACACACACACACACACACACACACACACACACACACAATTGTGAAGTGTTTGGTACTCTGTGAACTTAGTTGTTTGCTTGGAGACATTTCATTACTCAAGCAGGTAACATCATTTAATACTAGTAAGTGTAGAGTTTGCTTCTTCTTTATATACAGTAGCTTGCTCTGCCTGTGTATTGATGGAGGTGTGGTTTTCTCCTTGATTATTAGGGTATTGTTTTCTATTTAATTGTTTGTATGGTGTTAATCCCAACTTATCTGGGTATTAGGGAAGAAACCCTACACTCATTAGCACTGATGATTTTTGTCAGGTAATTAGATGTTTACAAGCAAACAGCCAAACTCACAAAACACCAAGGACTCTGCAGTTCAACCCTGAGCTATATATATTCTCATCTGTTGAACAGATAGAATTGAAATAAATGATCCATTAACAACTCTAATCCAGGCAATGATAAAAGAATTACTATGATTGTATAGTTACAGTTTCACATTGAAACAATGTCAAGTTCTGTGTTACCAAAAAGGAAATCTATTTACAGGCACTATAGTACTGATAAATAGTTCAGATTAAAATCAAGCCCTATTATCTCATTGGCTAAATTCATATAACATGCTTATCTCAAATCCTAATTATCAAAACACAGTGATTATATTCACGTAATACTCCATGCCCGAATTTCAGTTATGGATTAACATGATTGCCTGCTCTGTTAACACAATGGCTAAACTGCACTCTGAAACAGAAATCATTAAATCACATTTTAGCTTAGTTTAATGGTTGTGCAAACTGCTGTCTGTCTGTCTCATATTTGTTCCATTAGTAAACAAAGATGTTTTTTAGAAGCCCCGAGGATTCAGTGAGCAAAATTCAAAACCTCAGCTTCTAAAATATGGAAGTATGCAGATTCTATTCAATAGGCAAGGCACTAGGTGGTGCTACTGTACCAGAAACACTTGGAAATGGGCAATGCCAGCTTTTTAAAATAACCTGAATGTGTAAGTGTGTTAATAGAAAGGCAAATCTTTCTTTGCTCTAAAACATCTCTCAGTTTGCTTCTCTACCTCACATGACTTTCAACGTATAATGTCTTAAATATTTTGTCATAGATGTTTTTGTTCAGATAAAGCACTTTAAAATACAAACTCAAGCTGTGCAAACTCAATTATATAGATTTTTATAAAGTGAATTTTTCAAAAGTCTAAATTGTCAAATGAAAATTATAACAAATTTTGGTTCTGATAATGATTTGGACTAGCAAACAATAAATGTATGTTTTAACGCTCTATATTGCTTAATTATGAAGACACAACACCAAACATACTTTGATAAACAATTTCCATTCAGTGATTTCAAAAAGATTAAGGAGTCTCAAAAATTCTTTAAATTCTTCAAATGTTATATAACAGGTTGTTTAAGTGAATTCTGTTTTGAAGATACTCACTTGTTACATAAAAGTAGATCAATCGTTCATCACGACCTACTTTGTTGGAGGCTACACACTTATACATAACAGAAACATTGGCTTCTTGGACAATTAAGTTGCTGATGGTCTGAGGAAAAAAAATATGAACAAATATAGGTTTTTTCAAAGATTTTTTTTATCCTGCCTTTATTATTGTTTTTCTTTTATTAGTGTTTTTATTACATTTATATGTCACCCATCTCACTGTTGTAGTGACTCTGGCGGCTTACAGCATAATAAAAAGATATAAAGCTTAATAAAGGCTAAAAAAACCCAAGAGGATGGGCAACATGGGGTAGGGATCTCTCTGTCTCATCAGCCAACCTCAACCTAGTACACTCCTATTGGAGCCACAGGTTAACTAGCAGAACCAAATCTAAAGACTCTTCCTGAAGGCCAGGAGTTTATAAAGAACTCAAAGGAACATTCATACCTAATACTCCTTCCTTCTCCGATTTTCTTCACAACAACAACTCTGGGAAGTGAATTGGGCAGAAAGAGAGTGACTGGCCCAAAGTCACCCATCTGGCTATCATGACTTAAGGTGGGGATAGAATTCAATATCTCTCATCTTTTAGCTGATGCCTTAACCATTAGATCAAACTTGTATTGTAACTCCAAGTTTTTAACTTGGAAAGATATAGGACTTTCACCTGTCCCTACACATTTTTAAAGATTACTATCCTCATAGCACTTCTTTCCTGTGGAAAATTGTGCAATAAAATCATTTAAGGTTCATGCCAGTTGTCCACACAATGTGCTGTTTCTTTTATCTCTGCATTTGGTTTCACTGGACGTGTGCTCAGTATGAATATTCTTCAACAATCTGCTACTGTTGAAATGCTGCTGTTGCACTGAGATATCCTCCTCAGTGAAACAGCAAAATCCATTCATGGTCCTTTTCTTATTTAGGGGGACTAGCATAGAAGAAGATTTAATAGGGAGAGACATCAGAAAACCACAGCTTACAGATCAAACACCTTCACCACTGCGGGACAAAGAACAGATGAAAAACACCTGATGTCTGCTCATGACTTCTGCAGAATATATAGAGTGTAATATACAATAGGCAGAATGCTAATTTAAATTATAAATGTAATGGTCCAGGATATATCAACAAACGGTAGGTTCTGACATATCCAACTACATTAATATTAAATAGGATAAATCTCCATTGGAGATTCAGGTAGATAGGCACATTGGATAATGTCTTTCAGATACAGAAGTTCTATGAATACACTAGTGCAGGTAAGTGCCAGAGTTTAAATAACAAAACAATTGTAATTAGTTTATAAGACAATGGAAGCTCACAATGGATGCATAACCTGGATAGCTGTACATTATTCTAGACTTCTGTGATAAAACTGTGTTTCACAAATAAGGCAATATATTGTTAACTTGTTCATTTTTAAAGAAATTTTTAAAGAAATTTTTAAAGAAATGTGAAGTTTTAAGTACAGCTTTGCTTTATTTTTCATTATGTCTGTCAAGAACTGGAATATAGTGATTAGTGAATCAGAATTCCTGTTCAGCATTTCCAGAAACAACAGAAGGGTAGATCTAGTGAGAAACATCATACTTGATGTCCTACCATCATGCAGATATTAAAAAAGTCCAGAGAATAGTCAGGAAATTCATGAAATTATTAAACCTAATGAAGTTTTGTTCCCAAAAGCATTGGGGAACATATTGCTTGGAAAAACTGTGGAGGGGAAATATTATTTTCAGAAGGAAAATAGTTTTATTGAAATTTTTTTATTGAAATTAAACTTTATTTAATGTATAATACTTGCTCTCTTGTTTCAGCCTCCTATGAGCCGCTCAACAACAAAATATAAATAAATACACACTTTCATAAACAACCCAAAAAGCAAAATTCATATAATCATTCAATATAGTCCAACATTTAAATATATTTTGATCCTTCCACATAAGATAATACTTAATATTTAAATTTCTCAATAAATCTTTCCTAACTAATTCTGTAATGGAGAAAGTGTTTTATTATTTTAATTACGTTGTCTAATTCAACAGTAGTAATGTCTTAGAGGGGCAGATGTCCATTATTTTATTTTAGTACTTCTTATATTTTTAATTTTAAAAATTATCCTGCCTTCTCATACAAAGAATCACCAAAGTCTATCAGTATATAAAACATATTAAAATGAATTACTTTTGAATAATAGGAAAAGAAAATAGCTTTGAAACTCACAAATTTGCCACATTTTAAAGAAATGGGTGGGGAAACATTGATATTATTATTGTTACAGCCCACTAATTATTAATAATTTGTTAAATTTATATGGTTTCCCATCACAAAATACATTACTCTGGGCAGCTAACATCACTTGAAAAGAGAATAAAAGCAATATAATAAAATTATTTGAATGATAACCTGTATGCCAGAAATTTACTCCCCTTCTTTCCATTCTTCTAAAGAAATATACTGTACCTTTCATTACATCACACTAATAAACATATTTTCCTGTATATCACAGTATTAGCAATATAATATAATGTCAAAATAAAACAATCAGACTGAAAAATCTGCATACTAATAAAATTCTCCTGTTTGTCTGTTTGTAACCTTCAATTACCCAAAAAAGTGCATCATACAGGAAACAATTTTTAAAGTAAGTGGACTTACTGAAAGAATGCTTCCAAAATCCCGAAAGGACCCATTACTCCTATGGAATTGAAATCTGAAGAAACTTCAAACCAATTGCATTCACAAACCTGTAACCATTGCAGATTTGGTGTGCTGCCATAGTCAGCTGTGGTCAGGTGATTGTGATTTCTAACCCTGTTATTTTCCCACAAGTAAAGTCAGTGGGGAAACTGGCAGGCAGGAAGTCAAAAGTTGATCCTGGTCCTACTGTTTCCCCCCCAACTGTGGTCATTCTGTTTAGGTAAGGAAACAGCTATGAAAGAATGACCTAACAAGTTTTATTTTATTATTTATTTATTTATTTATTTTTATTTGTCAATTACTTACAAGATAACAGGTATAAGTAAAAACATAGTTATGAATACATGGATACATATAAGAAAAATAAAAATATATAAAAGAAACAATAGGACAGGAACGGTAGGCATGTTGGTGCGCTTATGCACGCCCCCTACAGACCTCTTAGGAAAGGGGTGAGGTCAATAGTAGACAGTCTAAGGTTAAAGTTTTTGGGGTTTGTGGGTCATCTTGTTATAACTTAAAAACAACTGCGAACTAATTTTGGCCAATTTGTTAAAAACGTTTCTTCCTTTCAATTTGAAAAAAGAAAACACAAATAAACAAGTGTTAACAAATTAAGAACCCCAAAACAACTTCCCCCACAAAACCTAACACGAATGTTGGAAAATAACTTAGATCATCAAGCTATTGCTAGAAGTTAAGTGTAAACTTCTCTTTTCCATGCCATATAATATTTTTTAGATAGTGCTATGCCTCCAAAGTCCTGATGTCTTGCTAAATTGCAAATGCATGGATTGGAATTTCAAGGTATTTTCAAATCTTTATGCATCTGCTGCTTTTTTCATCCTGGTACAGGATGGAAATGTAGATTACACAATGTGCCAGATAATCACTTGGGGCAAATAAAAAATTGAGAAGAGAAATGTAGCAAATGACTAATCAAAGCAGTATTACCAAATCCACTTCTTTTATTCTTCAGATAAACTTTGGAAAACTTGGCATAAATCAATTTGAATTTTACTTGGCGTAATTCAAATCGAAGCAGAACAAGAACATGGTTCTTTCCTTCCTATCATCATTTCTCACCTTTTTGTGAGGAATTCCTGACTGTAGTACTTGAACAGGAAGTAATCATGGAGGGACATATGAAAACAGGAAGTGACTTGAGGAAACTGGAAGCCATTCGTTTGTTCTTTTGCCTGCATCACTATCATGGGCACAGTTTGGTAGCTGACACTGTCACTTAGAATAGGAAACTAGTCACAGGAAGGCATGCATGAACTTGGCGCTTTATTATATTTACCACCATAGTGGAAAGAAACAATTTTAAAAGCTGGCTGTTTTTTTTTAGAAGGTAATAGATCAAGATATTAAAAAAAACCTCCCTAAAAGAAATTATGGATGACATCCATTGGAGATCCACTGGAATGTCTCATATTCCAAAATACCACCTCGCCAACAAAACCATTTGTTTAGATATATGCTGGATATGATGATGGCAGGCTTACTAATTAAAATCAGTTTTAAGGCTGATGTACATTAAACTTATGTGTAGGGGTGACATACAGAACAGTGGAGAATAATGGACAGGAGGAAGTGAAGAGCTGTTGCTGGTGCTTTTCACTCCTTAAATAAATTGCCTTAAGAATTCCTCCCCTCCCCGGTGAAGGAGAAACAGAAAATAACTGGCTTTAACACATAAGGCTGGACTGCAATGAATTGAGAACCAAAAACATGAATGGGCGGAAGATTTTTCCAATCCATTAAAGAAACTGAATAGCTCTTCTGATAACTGCTCTTATGCAATGCTCTTTCAAACAATTCCAGTGTATTTACTGCAAGAAAATGCTTAGTGGCATATTACTATCCAAGCAACTTGCTCATAGACAGTTTTATTAACTAAATCAATGCAGACATTTCATGGTTCCATTCATGGAATTATTTTTCAACAATCAGTCTGATTTAGGAGTGGAAATGAAATTCAATATATATTCCATTGTGAAATAAATGAATAGTGTACCAGCAAATTTGGATACTATCTTTATAATCTGCAATTCTAAATAATACAGTCTGCAGTATTTTGGTATACATCCAGATTTTATATACATATCATAGATTTGCTGGTGTTGTATTTGCCATATAATTCTACTGTATTATAGTAGGCAGGACACAGGTCAGTGAATATATATGCCGCAAACAGAAGGTTCCCTTTTAAAATCCTTAATATTTCCTTTGCCAATAAGGAGAACTATTGCCCAGATGGTGATAGAGAACCTGCTCTGGTTGTTTTTCAACATTATTGACATGGTTACTTTCTCAATTAGTTACAAGCTGGACACTGTTTTCCATTCTTCCTCAATGGCTGGTTCCAGTTGGTAGTGACTTGTCAGCCTTTCAAGGTAGACCAAGCCAGGAAACCACAGTGATTGGATACTAATACTACTTTTATTATAAGCCACTTTTCTTTTAATAATATAAACAACCTATCTATTTTTCTTTCTTTCATTCATTCACGATCATTTATTCTTTTTCTACTCCACTGTGCAATACTCCATATGCCACTGTCATGCCCAAGATGCCCAAAAAAGTATTGAACTTCATACCCTCATGCCTTTGAAGCTTTCAGCTTTACTAACCTTAGTTGTGTAGGTATTTAATATACTTTGTGAGTAAACGTGTGGTTATCTATCCACCAACTATGAGGTACATGCATATCATTGGTATGTGCTCAGATGGGTGAAATGTAACATGTTTAAATTCTGTCTTCCATATCTTCTTTATTGCCTCACAGAAAAATAATATTTTGGAAGTGGTACTTTAAAAGATCTGGAATTTGGGAACTGTTTTACCAGAAAAATCTATCCTCAATGTCTTTTTTTTAAATTAATGCACAAAGGTATGGAAAGAGCAACAGAAAACTGGCAACTGAAGAAGAAAAATATTTTATTTTATGAGGATAAACTGGAAGGAGTGACAAATTTAAAGAGTTAAGTGACATTAGGATGGATCTTTACCAGTTTGATATATATAAGTGAAATAATGTTTTAATGTAGCTCTTTGTATTTGTAAAGTGAGTCTGAAAATGTTGTTTTCTTTATACAGTTTTCTTTCTATATAATGCGTGAGTAATTTCTAAAGCTTGCAAAATATTATTGAAAGTATCTATGTTAAGAAATTTTTTTAAAAGATGATTAAAATTTATTGATTTTATAATATTGTTAAAGAAAAAATTAGTTTTAAAATGGATGTAAAGAATCTGAAAAAGTATACTGAATTTTGCTTATAGCAATAACAACAACATTTTGACTTATATACTAATCCATAGATCTTTATAGTCCTTTCTGAGTAGTTTACAATTTTATCAACCTTGGAAGGATGGAAGATTGAGTCAACCTTGAGCCAATCAGGATCAAGCTCCTACCAGTGGGCAGAGTTAGCCTGCAATACTGAATTTAATCACTGCGTCACCATGGCTAATATTAATGATAGTTTATAATGATTAATAAATGCAATTAGAATATATATTACTTTCCACAACAAGCAAAAAATGTAAAGCTGCTTAAACTGATTGCTTTATCTGAAGAAATTAGTACTATATATCTAATTTTATTTTTATTTTTATTTGGAAATCACTTCTGGATTTTGTGTTTGTGATGGGAAAAATACTTTGATTTTGGTTTTGCTGATTAAATAGGTTTGTTGTTGTAGAAATAGCTAGTATATAATATTGCATAAAAGTAAAAGGTTGAGGTTGCAATTTTATTATCTTCTACTGAGTAACGAAAATCAAAAGTCAATGCCTTTTTTCCTCCCTTCTACCCCACATTTTCTCTTTCCCCCATTTCCCTTCCCTTAGTTCCCATTGTTTTTATTTTCCTTTGTATTTTATATTCTGATAAAATAATACAATTTTGATAAAAAGGAAAAAGAATATTATGAAAGTGGCACTTTAAGAGACCTGGATTTGGGAACCATATTGCAAGAAAAATCTATCCTCAATGCCTTTTTTAAATTAATGCACAGAGGTGTGTAAAGAGTAACAGAAAACTGGCAACTGAAGAATTTAACTAAAGAGTAGGTACTATTTTTCTGGTTCAATTTAGAAGAGATAAGCAGAACTTGTACGTAACATAAGGCAATGCCAATTTCAATAACCCTGGTACTAGATAATAACAATACGAGATAATTAAATAGCAATGCAGATTTTAAAGGGATTAAAAAGTCATCCTCCATCTGAATTTAACAATGTAATTTCATAATTTAATTTAAAATGATTCTGATGTGAGCACCTCTCTGTACCCATTGACTGCTATGATGGCTGCCTGTAGATGTATGGACCCAGGGAATACATATCTGAATACAGGCATCGCCTCCTTACTTCCTCCTTTACTCAAATGAATGCTTTCCTCAACTCATGAAGCAACAGTCTAAGCTTAGGAATAGGTGTAGCTTCTTTAAGAAGCATCTGACAAATACAGAGAAGGTATTGACAAGAAGTCTGAGACTCCTTTTTTAAAAAATTGGTTTGTCAATTGCTTACAAGATAATAGGTATAAGTAAAAACATAGTTATGAATACATGGATACATATAAGAAAAATAAAAAAAAGAAAAGAAAAACATTTGAAAAATACAATAATAGACAAAAAAGCTGAAGAGTGGATGGCAAGAATGACAAAAAAGAAGAAAAAAACCAGACAGGAAAAAAAAAAGAATCGAACCCATACAAATAGGGCTTCAATCACTGTCACCAAAGGCCTGTGCTAAATTTTCATAGGCCTTTAAAACAATAGCATGGAAGGAATCTTCTGGACCTCAAGGGAGCCTCATTATGAAGGGCATGTCTTGCTAACAGAGAAAACTTGCTTGTGGAATCCTGATAAATGGCATTATTTAATTGAAGGAACTGGGAATGCATCAACCCTGCCAGATCAAATTGGCCAGGCAGATACTATGGGAAACAGGCAGTCCCTCAGTAAGCTATGCCATGTAAGGCTTCTTAGGTAATGATCAGCACCTTGAATTGAACCAGGAAACAAACTGACAACCAAGGCAGGTCATGAAGAAAGGTGTTACATGGGCATACTAAACTGTACCCATCACTGCCTGTGTCACCATATTCGGGACCAATTGAATCTTCTAGATGGTTTTCAGTGGCAAGCCTATATAGAATGTGCTACAATAATCAAACCATGAGTTGACCAGGCCATGAATAATCTTCTAAAGCAGTGGTGTCAATGTTGCGGCACACGGACCAGATGCATCATGCACTGACCACGCCCACCCCCGCTTTAGCGAAGGGGAAACGTTGCGATATGTCATGTGACGACGATGTGGGTTTGACACCCCTGTTCTAAAGGATTCCTCAGACTCAATTAGTGCACCAGACAAAACTGTACAAAGGTCTTCCTGGACACAGTTGCTACTACTTGCTAATTGAGGAGCTGTGAGTTAGAGAAAACCCCAGATTGTGTGCCACTATTAAATGGAGAACTGCAACTCTATTCAAGCTCAGAGATGGAATATCCCCAGATCTGGGTAGGCCAAACACACAACCATTTGGTCTTCACTGGATTGAGATGGATATGGTTCCTCCCATCCAAACCAGCAAAGGTTTTAGGAACTCAATTTTCTCACTGCTGAAAGATATAATTAGGTAGCATCAGCCTTACTGATGCTATATTTTTTTTCTTTTACTTGCAACATTTTTCATACTTGTCTTGTTGCTTTTTCTTTAGTTTATATTATTTCTTATTTATCTTTTGTTTCTTTGTAAATCTTTAATTAAAATTATATACATACTATCAGTACTATCTCAGTATAATTTAATTTCTATCTGTTTAGAGGGATAATAAGAATTTCATCTGTGTATCAGCATATTTGGCATATACAGACAAAATATTATAGTACTTTCTCATGTTTCTTAATTTCAATAAACACTTCCTGTATTAAGACCTAGTCTTATAAATTGCTTTCTATTGATCCCAACCACAGAGTTAATTATAGATATGCTATTAACTGCATGGCATGCATTGTTTATGTGTAAACACTAAGCAGATAAAAACCTTCAACCAACCATAATAAAGTTACACCTCAATAATGCTAAAGGGTTTGTAATATGAAATCCTGTTTGGGAAAGAAAGGTAGGTTGATTCTCAAGACTTCAAGAACATGCAGGATAGCTCAGGAAATATACAAAGCATGGATAGGTGTAACATTGGTCTGATCAAATCCAAATCTTGAACACATTCTTTTTTATGATTGTATTCACTAGTATACTATGAAACCAATTTCATCATGAGATTTTTCAATAATTTCATGACACATATTATTTTCCATTAATTGATAAGTTCAGTCAAAAGACTGAATAATTTTAGTTTTTCAAAACAAACTTGCTCAATTCATTCCTCCTTTCCCAATTCTTCTTCTTCAACTTTTCTTTAGGTGTTGCATTAGAATGGAATGAACCGTATATCAAAAACTGGTAATATAGGAAAGACAATACAGTTTGAATTTATGTTAAAAAAACAGCTAATACTCCATTTCATAAATCTGAAGTGCTTCTCTTTCCAATGGAGAAAGAAAACAGGGAAATGGCCTCACCTTGTTCCTTCCTTCCACTAACTCTGTCCAGGTGTCAATGCTTTCAATGGGGTTCACAGCATCAATCTGTGACACATCCTTCCAGTCCTTACATTCAGGCATCCGGTCTCTCTGATGGCGTTGTACAGCCCTTGGTCTACTTCAGTTTACAGTTTATGTAGTACCCAAAAAAAAAGAAAGAAATTGAAAAAATAAGAGACCCTAAGAAGGAATCAGGGAAAGCAGATATATTTAACAAGACAGAACTTGATAAAATTTTGTATGCATGCACCTAAAAGGGATATGATAATTTTTTCCCCTCTGTAATGAGGCCAGAATGTTGGGGACATCTACTAAAATTGATTAGTAGCAAGAAAGGAAGAATACAAATAGACCTCCATACAATTTATCATTTGTTATAACATTTCTCCATGTTTATTATGATGGCTGTTAACTCAGGCAGCTTTAATAGGATTGGCAGACGTAAAGAATTTACAGAATCTTGATATCCAATGACCAGCAGATACCACTTTTGGGAAAGTGCAAAAGAAGAAAACATACAAAGGAAGAAGATAACTACAAGTACCGTATGTGGGCAGAGTCCTTGGAAAATTTGAACATATCAAGAACATAATGGTTATATGTGTTCAGTACAGATGATGAGCAGAAAACAACTTTTTGTATTTCAGTACACAGCACAAATGAGAACCTGTTTTTAAAAACAGGAAATCATTATGAAGTGGGATAAGCAGAAAAGTTGTGGCCTTGGAAGACAGTGCTCATAAATCACTAGCTCCTCTTCCTTTTGACAGAGCTACAAATAATTCTGATGGGACTGGAAATGCCCTGATTTCCTTAACCAGTCACACTACATAGTTATGACATTGGTATTTTTATAGATGCTCCACTTCCTTCTGGGTCAGTGATACTTGCTATCACACTCTCTTCAACTGTAGAGGCCCCTTTCTGCCTCAACAATAATAAATGTTTGCTGCCCATTGTCCTAATTGAAGGAAGAAGGGGACAGTTTGATTCCTGTGCATTAGCCATCTTGAGATAGAGATCCTTTCATTGTCTTTGTTCCCAAAAATGAATTTCACTGTATTGGGGTCTAGCATGTATTGTTAAACAATGCTTCTATGTAAAACAAAAATCCATAAACTGGACAACCAGGAAAAACCCTAGACAAAGCTAAAATGTAAGAGTCATAAAGAACAGGCCAAGCATCATAACACTGAGGCTAGAAGGTAGCTTTTACAAAGTTGCATTATCCATATATCTGCTTATGCTAAACTGACCAGAAAAAAAGTGGTTAACCTGTCTGCCTCTCAGCCTTCATTAAGTAGGCTATGAGAAGTCATAAGATTTCAGGAGCTTCTTTTAGCAACTGCCTGACTTTCTTGATTTATTTGATTAATTCAGTGTCAATTGTTAGTAGCTACCCAATAAAGCTCTAGAATGAACTGTCCCCAAACTGGCCTTTCAGGTTTCCCAATGTTTCTCCATCACCACTGTAAACAAGACCATCCATCTTGCTGCTGGTCATCATCTTCTTTTTCTTCTCACTTCTTCTAGCAGTATGGACTTCTCAAATAGTCTGACATTTGGTTTCAAATACCATACAGGGTTGACACACTGTGCTAAGCCATATGTTGTTGGTTTAAGGTTTATCAAACTATGAGACCACAGCCATTTATTTACTTAATAAATCATAATTGAACAAACTATGTCTTAACACAATGTTTGTTTAAACCAAATAGTACTCTCAGCAATTTTTTTAAAAAATACTGACTTAAATTCAAATGTTCCATTAATTCCTCTTCCAAATCTGATTTCCTCTATGTAGCTGCTGAGTTCCTAATATTATTCTTTTAGAAATTATTTATTTTCACTCATCTTCTTTACTTTAGAAAATTATTTAGTTTGTTGTCTTATAACTAATTTGGCTTTCTGCTTTAAACACACACATCTCTGTGTCCAAAACCATTTTAGTTGAGATTTTAGATTCCACTTTGACAAGCAGCGGCTGAATTTCCACTTACAAAAGCAGTGAAGATTTTCCACATGTATTTCTATATTTCTTTTCACTTATATATTTAGATATTATCCAGCCCTTAATATTGCAATTAATCATTGTGGTATCTAAAATTTGCCTAAAACTTGCATACAAATGGAATCTTCTATAAGAGCCCAGATGAATCAATCCAATTCTGATTCCAGCTTCCCACCATGGCCAACTAGAAGACCAACCACAGAATATAAGAAATGATTACTTTTTTGCTGTGATTTCCCAGCAACTGATATTAATTTTGTTATGCAATAGATTAAATTACAGTTCTGTGTGGTCCATTTAAGAGTTCCTCGGGATCATTTGTAATATCTGAATTATTGTGCTTTTCCAATTGGACTGAGAAACAAATAGGCTTGATGAAGAAAGAACAAGAGCATTATATATATATATTACATTATATATATATATTATATATATATATATATATCTTAAAGCCTCTAGAGAAAAACTCTTGATTTACACAAATTCTCTTGATTTACTATGGCTTGAAAATCAAATATGAAACTTTTTTTACTTACACTTTTTTATTAAGCTTACTGAGTTTTTTGTTATAGCAAGGATACAGCTTATATGTTTATCAGAAGAGTGTTTTTCCTTTATGTTAACAAATAGAAAATGTATTTCCAGCATCTGTCAATAATCAGTTTTGGAATTTAATAGTGTTAAATATGTACAAACCTACTATAAAGTCTCTGCTAGACTTGATTATCAGCTTTCATCGAACTACAAGGGAGTTTACTTTAACTTTAAATATCACCTTCCATTTACTCATATAAAAGTCTTATATCTTAATATTAATAGAATCGTTTAAGGGATAAGGATTACAAATGGCATGAATAGATTGAGTTCATGTATTATTTTGGTGAGTAATAAAGCTACTGAAATACACTTCTGAAAACTTTCCCATTAATCTTCCAAGTCTGCTTTTAAATCAAACATTAAAACATTTTTCTATTATTTTCTATTTAGTAATCTTCAGCCAGAACATATAGAATTTTCTATAGATGAACATTAAAAAAAAATCCTACAGAGCTGCCATTTCTCCTTTTTTCTCTTACTTTGTACAAACAATCATAATACTGTGTTTTCTCTAAACAGAAAATAACAGGATCCTGCATTATTTTGGACAAGAAGAAAAGGTGCAATGGACTACATGGGGTGCTCACGCAACTGCCAATTGGCAACTCTGTAAACCTGCCACACCAACTTGGCAAAAGACCCATTTGGGTTAAGACCCTGTTAGGAGGTGCTAGATATTGCACTTGATTGGAGGTGTTAAAAGACCTCTCTGAATCCAAATCCACAGCTGTAGAAATAGGATGTTCAAGGATGGAAGAACTTAAAGCCTTCCTCTGTCAACAGCACGCTTTCAGTTCCAATCTGAAATTTTCGAGTCCAGTCTTTTCCATGTGATTTTTAAACATAAAAAGAGACCTGACCTAGCTCTTGGTCAATATTATGGTCCTGCCTTTACTAAACCAAGGACAGATTATATAATGTAAGAGTATTCCACTATCACTGTCCAAACTCCTTTCATACAATAAAGCCAGATTGCACAAACCTTCAATTGCATCCAAAAGGCTTACTGTCCAGAAAGAGCAGCCATGTGATGCAACTGAAGTGGCTTCAATGTGGTTGACTTTGCACACTAGCCTGAACAGACCTGTCATATTTTTGCACCTTGTGCTATATTGAAAATTCAGTGAATATTTTAAAAAGAAAGACATTTACAGACTGTGCTGGGGAAACATTCGGCAAGGTGTCCAAGGCCTCCACTGCCATTGTATCTTTTCTGGAGCTGGAATGCCGTAGACAGTGCAGGTAAGTACGTGACGGTTTTTACGAGAATAAATGTTTGGTGAAGAAGCTTCTTTCTCAAGGATTTGTGGAGGAACTGAAATCATAATTGTGATAAAATATCAGTCTTATTATTTGCCCTTTTAGGTGACCGCTTATGCCTTTCTTTTCAACTCACATGTCAAAAGCCAACAGGCCAACTCCCTCTAATTTTGAATTGTTGCTACTCCTTTTAGTCATCCATATTATTCTCTTGGGAAGAATTAACTTCCAAAAACTTTTAAATATGCTCTCACACTGCCCAGTAAAAAGGTAAAGTACCCTAGTAAATTCAAAATAAAACCATCAACAGAAATAAAAATAATACAGCTAAAAATAATAAAGAAAGAAAAAAGATAAACCTGGTTGCAGCTTTCATATAAAATTTCATTCTATCCACAGAGAGGAAATGGCCTAGCACCAATCAACTCCTCCTACTCCAAATTTAGCATGTCATGCTTGCCCAATGTAACATGGCAAAAATGATCCTGAATTATTACACTGAGAGATGAAGAAAGACAAAACAACATACTACAGGTAATCCTTGACTTACGATCACAATTGAGTCCAAAATTTCTGTTGCTAAGTGAGAAATTTGTTAATTTTGCTCCATTTTATGACCTTTCTTGCCTCATTTGTTAAGTGAATATTGCAGTTGTTGAATTAGTATCATGGTTGTTAAGTGAATTTGGCTTCCCCGCTGACTTTGCTCGTCAGAAGGTCACAAAAGTTGATCACATGACCCTGGATCACTGCAACTGTCGTAAATATGAGTCAGTTGCCAAGTATCCGAATTTTAATCATATGACTATGGGGGCGCTGCCACAGTTTGTATGTGTGAAAAATGTTCATGTCACTTTTTTTCCATTGTGTGGTAACTTTGAATGGTCACTCAATAAACTGTTGTAAGTCAAGGACTATTTGTACAAATCCAAGGAAATGCAGGTAGTTCTCAACTTACAACCATTCATTTAGCATCTCCCTGGTCATGTAATCAAAATTCAGGTGCTTGGCAACCAGGAAGCATGTACAATAGACCCAGAATCATGTGATCACTATTTTGTGACCTTCCCACCCAGCTTTCAACAAGCAAAGTCAATGGGGGAAGCTAGATTCGTTTAATGACCATGCACTTAAGCCATGTTTGCTTAACAACTGCAGTGATTTGCTAAACAACCATGGCAAATAAAACTGTAAAATCAGTGTTAAAAACACTTACAACTGCCTTGTTTAACAATGGAAATTCTGGTCCCAATCGTGGTCACATGAGAAGGATTAACTGTATGTTGATGTACAGTCTAGACTACATATTATTTTGTTATTGCAGGCTACTTCTGCTGACTGCCAGCTGGCAGCAGTTCGGCAATTCGAGCCTCACCAGGCTCAAGGTTGACTCAGCCTTCCATCCTTCCAAGGTTGGTAAAATGAGGAGCCAGATTGTTTGTGGGCAATAGGCTGACTCTGTAAACCACTTAGAGAGGGTTGTAAAGCACTGTGAAGTGGCATATAAGTCTAAGTCGTATTGCGATAGTAGAACTGTTGGCTTTTATCTCTTTATTTTTAAACTGGGATGTCTGATGCCCATAATCGCCTTCCCTCCATCACAAATGACACTAACAGGCTCTTCATCTGTCCATCCAGGATTCTGATCCACCCCAGACCTTGGGTCCTATTTAAAAACCACCCTCCGATGCCAAAAAATGCAATTAAAATCATGCCTAAGTTGGGAAGATTTGGGAAACGATTTTCATGGAATAAAACAAATTGGGAATATTGATTTAAGTGCTATATGCCTGAAGACTTCTCTTCTCGTAAGTCATCTGGTTCTTCCTCACCGTTAACTACCAGTTGAAGGTTAATGCTCTTCTCCAGTCCAGCCAACCCATTCTTCAGGACCAGTGTATAAGAGCCAGAGTTTTGCTCTGCCACATCCTTGATCTGGAGGGAATATTGAGATTGCCTGTTGGAAATTAACTTTCCATCCTTAAACCTGGGCAGAAGCAGAGAAAGAAGGTATGCATATAGCTTAAGCTTCTAAAAGGTAGCCATGGAGCTTCAGCCAATGAAATGAAGAATTTCTGAAAAACACCCTTTTCCTTCATTTTCCCCTTAAGAAAAGCTTTCTCTGAATCTGCTGAGAAGCACCATTCCCCCCCCCCCCCAAAAAAAGATACATGCACTCATTCATCATTGGTATATTGCTATTTGGGGGGAGGGAGAAAGGGAAGGTGAACTATTTATGGAAATTTCCCCAATTTAGCACCTCCAGACTGGTTATGAACTCTGGGAGTCATGGTGGCATTTCAGGTGCTAGGCAACACACCCCATTTATAGCCACTTGCAACCTCACTGGCCATGTGATTGCAATTAGTAAACAGTGTTTACTTTTGTTTTTTTTGGCAAAATGCCCCATAATGAATAGTAAATTAGCTTAATGATAGCAGTTATTCACTTAATGATTGCCACAAAAAAAATCATAAATTCATGTAAGCTGCCTTGAGTGTGAATAGGCGGCAATATAATTTTTCTAAAATAAACAAACAAACAAAGTCAGGTAAGTTGAGGACTACCTGTAGTGGTTTTTCTCTTTTCTAATTCCCTCCCCCTAAATCCAAAGAAGACTTTGTGTGCTAAAAAGAATGTATTACCACTGGAACTCAGGCTGGGGATAAGCAACCACTTTTACTGGTAGTTTCACAATTTCGTCTCCCACTGTTGCTTCTATCACTGGGCCCTTTTTCCTTTCCACGTAGATAAATGGCTTCTCTGTAAAAACCAGTTGGATGAAGAAAAACAAGAAGGAGAAGAAGAAAAAACAGCGTCAAAGTTGTTAAACCCAGTAGCTGATGCAAGAGCAGAGATATCTATTCCACAGAAAAATTATAATTTTATGGATGTAGATCCACACACGAGATCTTTGCTTTTTTCCAGACATAAAAATGATACACCAATTTACATTTTTTGCCACAAAAACACAGTGCTACGCTGGCTGATTTTTAAAAAAAATACTAGGAATGCTAATGTGCTTATTTAAGAAGCAGTCCAGTTATTCAGATCAGGAGAAAATGACATTTGAAGGATGCTCCCAGAGTATTGCCAGAAACTTTGTATTTGAGTATATAGAAAGGAGCGTTCTCCTGTCTGATTCCCAGGCAACAGAATGGTCTAGCTAAGGAGGGGCATTTGGTTCATGTTCTCCTATTTAGTAAGAAGGTTAATATCCTTTTTTTGCTAAGATTTACTATTAATTAATTGATTGATAGATTTGAGTTTAGATTTTTCTGTTATGATTTGTATCCTACATTTTTTGTTTATTTTAAGCTGCTTTATATACTGGGGAAAAAAAGGGCATCAATTTGAGAATAAATAAATAAATATTACTTCATCATAGAAGTTAATTGAATGCTTTATACTTCTTTTGCCAAGAGTATTCCTGTTCAAGCAAAGAAGTGTTTTTGAATGGGCATTTATGAATGATTAATCTTACACATTTCCTACAATAGTGTGCACAATGTTCTTTAGGCCAAAGATTATCTTCAGTTGTATATGGAATGCTGAGCAATGTGCCAGTCATAGATACTGACAGGAAAAATGGGGGTGGCCAAAAAATACATAATAAATTCATAAATAAATATACCATCTGCAGCTCTTGGACATCCAGATGTTTCCAAGACACGTAAACCTTAACTTTCCAATTTTAGCTGCACTGTTATCCAGTATAAGTTCTGTATGCAGTATATGAAACTGAAGCTAAACTGTTTTAAGGTCAACAACATGGATGAAAAACACCAGAAGCTAACGTATTTATTGCTTTTTGACATTAAAAAAGGGTGATTATTCAAAAGCCATTGCACTCGTTGTTCTCTGTAAAGTAACATGCACACACCTATCCTAGGACCATGGAGGGCAATTGAACAACTTCTTGATACATTAAGTACCAAACAATACATCATTTACTGTAGGAGATGACCAGGCTGAGCCTGAGGGAGGGATCAAATGTGTCATCAGTCATGAGTCCCTTCACGCCCACAAGAGGTCAAAATCCAGCCCACCTTGAATTCTTTTCTATTCTTAACTCCCACTAATTTCCCTTGACCATTAGTACTTTAAATCCCATATTGATGTTTCTTCTGATAAGGTTATTTCATTAAATCTCACTTGGAAAACAACATATATGGCAACATACCACCTCAAATCCTTCCCAAGGCCACATTTTTCATTTTTTCTAGCCAAAGCACTAGATACTTCCTCAGAGGTTAACTGTCCTGCTGGGAATTATAGTCCTATCACAGTTTTGATAGGCGCTAACAAGAATCTGAAAGAACCTAAAAGGTTTTCTTAGTCTGAGTTAGTGTTTTTTTACCATGCACGATGACATCTATGCTCTCCTTCAAGTTCTGCTCCCCATTGTTAGCCTTGCATGTATATTTTCCCAGGTCCTGTTGGCTCACATTTTGGATGACCAAAATGCTGGAGAGTTCAGTATGGGTTTGCTGGGACCGCCTTTCAGGCAGTTCTATGACTTTCCGGTTCATCTGCCAGAAGAAATATGGGAAGAGAAAAGAGAGTTGATATTAAAAGAAATGAAATTCAAAGGCATAAAACCCACAGCTTTTCTTGTTACAAGATGGATTGTCTCTCTCAAAGATTTTGCTCTCATGACCATTAAACCAGTTTGATACTATAGCTGGAAACTCATATAAACATTACTATCTGCAAAATATTTCCCCCCCAGGATGTCAAGGAAAACTAGGTCCTTATACATTAACATTATATTTGGTGAGTTTTTGAAAAGTATTCTTTTAATCATGTGAAAAATTGTCCAACAGTAAGCATATGAAATTCTAGCACCTGTTTTGTAAACCAATAAAGGAGGATATTTGTAGCTCAGGGTTGAAATGAGGCGTCCTTGGTGCTGTCTGAGCTTGCTTGTTTTCTTGCAGATGTTTAATTACCCTAACTAGGTAACATCATCAGTGATAGTTAACATAATGAAATGTCTGCAAGAAAACAAGCAAGCTCAGAGAGCATCAAGGACTCTCCAATTCTGTAAAACTCCCTATATAACAAGAAGTCAAGTATTAGCCTGGGAAGCCAATTTTCTTCGGCAGCTTCTAGGCTGCCATATTTAGTGGGAATTTGGTAGGGGGGGTTTTAAGGAGCAGTGGAAGATAGCCACAACAACATTCTTTTCTAGGAGAGTCAAGGATGTTTCACCCTGCACCTGGAGGAGAGGAGAGTGACTGGGGATAGTCTCCAGATGGGATGAAGACATGATTGGGCCATGTGATGGGCTGATGAAGGCAGGGGATGGATCTTTGATTTTCTTTTGGGGAAGGGAAAACCCTGAACTCTGAGATTCAGGTTTTCCCCGATGTGCCAATATGACCTCTCTAATAAAGTGGAACTTTGAGAAGGTGATTGTCTCAGAGTTGTCTGTTTCGGAATTTGTTACTTGGAACACTGGCATCAAGAGGACGAATACTGAAAAAGACAATGAGACACATTTGGAGGAAAGAGTCAAAGGTCAGCCAAGGTGCCAAAGTAACTTGTCAGAGGGTACTTTTGTCTTTTCGTGGCAAGTCCAACCATATTCCAAGTAATAGCTCTTGCTCAAAGTAAATATCTAAACAGAAATCACAATGAACATAGTAACAATGTGGACAGCATGGCTTTAGTGAAGTGAGTTCTTGGTCTGACCAACAAGACATTTAACTTGTTGTGGATGCATTTCACAACATGTATTAAATGCTACAAATCAGCAGGATTCACACTGAAAATAGTAGAGGTAGATGAAGGTGCAGTTTAAGAACTCTTAAAAAAATTAACTAAGTTGTTCTTGTCCTTGTCTATTTAAAAAAATATTAGCATCAGAAGCTACAATGATGTAGTTGGATAGCTGCACTTGGGAGACAAAGCTATAATCTATTTTAGTAAAAGAACCTCCTCCTGAAAGAACAGGTTCACCCATTGGGAGCTCTAGCAGTTCATCACCTCAATGGATTTGCAGGTGGTGATTATGATGAAGAGCATATTTCACAACATTATCCAAGCCTTGACTGTTGTATAATGTTCTACGTGGGGCTACTCTGAAAAAGAATTTGGGAGTAGAAATTGGATGCAAAACTAGACAATCCATGGCCCATTGAGTCTTTGGTTCAGAATGAGCACATGTGGGCAAAAAAGCAGTGGTAGCAAGAGCAAGTTTCAATTTCCTGCCATCTTTCCCATTGAATTTCCCTGTGGGAAGCTAGCAGGAAACATTGAAAACTTTTCTTTCCTTCTTTCCTTCCTTCCTCCCTCCCTCCCTCCTCTTTAGACCAATAACAAGAATAAGTTAAGACATATTAACTATAGAGGCTAAAAAGGAAATAAAAACAAATGTTAATTCATACTTGTTTTGCAGGGTAGTCCCACTGGAAATTAACTCCTGAATCAAATTCAGCCCATACTGTGCAGTTGATAACTAGTTTTTCTCCCACCAATAGCTCCATGGCCTTCCTTGGAAACAGCTGAATATCATAAAGCTCATTGCCTGGTAGAAAATGTAGTAAGAAAAAGAAAACTATTTAAACAAATAGAATTCAATATTTCCTTGGGAAACAGAATTTTTGTTTTAAGTGACTAAAATGGTACTATTGTATTTACTATTGTAAAATTGGTTTCATTGTATTGCGAACAGTTGCTGGGGTGCATCTACAGTTTCGTTGTACTCGTACAATGACAATAAAGTTCTTCTTCTACTATGTCAGGTAAAATTACACACTGCAGATTCACTGGCATTCTAGGCTCATTTACTTACATTTGATAAATTATTTGCCATTCAACTGTATTCTCATGCAATTTTTGGAGTGAACATTTATATTCTTGCCTAAAAACAATAATCTCTTTCTTATATAATAAGCACCATCCTACAATTGCCCAAAAGTTCTGTGGCCAAAACCACAGAACAAATGCATTTCTGGATAAGTAATACGCCTTGTAAAGTATTTTGCCATGAAAAACAGTGACAAGTACCATTGTATTAAATATATATTTATATATAAAATTTTATTTGTACCAAGGCTTTTATTCCCCTTCAATTTTAATGCTATTTTACTTTCCTCTAATTCTGCAATAATTTCTGTCAGCAACAGTTGTTTACTCCTTAATGTATGCATGCTTTTTATGTTTATATATAAGCCTCTGTATTAGTACAACTATATTGTTGTTAGCAACATGCAAGTTAAAAATATGTGTTGTTATGGAAAAGTGATAATTAATGATTGGGATAAGTTGAGATGTTTCTTGGGAAGGGCATATATTGAAGAGAGAGGAAGGGAGAGAGAGAATGAGAAAGAGAGACTTAAAACTTCAAATGTTCATTTGAGAAATAGGAAAAGAGGTCAAAGAGCTAAGAGAAAGTGAGGTGTGAAGTTATAGTGCATTACCTCCTTAAAGAATATTCTAGGATGGAAAAATATGGAGAAATAATGGAAGCGGGATGAAATTAAGATTGTGAAGGTGTCACTGCCTATGTTTAAAAGCATGTATTTCATCATTGAGCGCTGTCACTCCAATCTTTATCAGATGGAATTAGATATATTTGGATTTTTTCATGGTTCTTCAGGATGAGAAAAGTATCTCTGCCCCAGAGGTTCTGTGACCAGTTTGTGGACTGGGATTAAGATTCATGCCTGATGTTCCTCCTCTGAAATGATGACCTAACCACTGCTTAAACCAGGGTTATAACACTTTATCAGTTGCAATTTTATATAACAGTTGCAGAACAAACAGTTCCCAAACTCACCTGCAATGTGGACAATGAAGAAACTAGATTTGAAGGGTTTCTTATCAATGAGAGTTTCACACTGAACATACCAGGAATCCTTGATCAGGAGAGTGGGGACCAGCATTCCTTGTTTGTTGTCCCAGAGAATGTTCTTTCCATCAGGATAGATGACCGAAGTTGTCTAGAATAACATTTTGGGAACTCTGTTTAGAAATGCAGGGACAATTTCCACAACTTCTCCACCACATGGCTTTTGCAGCCAGTTCCTGTTTTGGGGTTTGTCTTGTTGATAAAATAAAGCATCATTTGTAGTTTTGTTCATTTTTTGCTGTTATCTCCACAGGCACCTCCCTTTGTGAATTCTATCTACAGTAATTCTAATGAATCATTTATTAAGCAATTATTATCCCAATGAACTGGAATGGCTTCTATTAGAGAACAAAGCAATTATTATTTTTAAAAAAGAGGAAAAGTGAAATATTTAATGTAATCGAAATATTATCAGCAGATAGCAGCAATTCCTGAGCAGGATACTAAAAATGAAAACACTATATGGCTTGTGAACTCATATCCTTGGCTTTGGGCAAGGTATCATTTAATATATTTGCCAATGAAAATAATTAGCTGAGAACAAAGCTGAATATAGCTTTAAGTTATAAGAAATAAGAAGAGCAAAAGTTGTAAGAAGTAGCCCTTATAACCTTCTCAAAAACACTGCAATTTCTAAAAACTGTCCTTCTTGAATTGCCTTAGAAAAAAAACAATACCAATGAAAAATTTTTTGTTGCCTCCACAAATTTCTTCTCTTTTACTAAAAACCTCTGTGTTGTGGTTTTAGGTTTCTCCAGGAAGATCATTAACATGGTAACGTAATCCACAGAAAATCCAAAGACAGCAATACAAAAGCAAACAAAGACCAAAAGGAAAAGAAAAACATGGTATTTGGGGGAGAAATTTTTCAAAGGTCGTTTTAGCAGAGTCTAGAACTTTTTAAAGGTCATAGTCTTAACAGCTTCACTTTATTTTTTATTTCTCTCTATTACCTCCTGAATGTTTTTTATCCCCAATTTCTGTTCGTACTGGGAAGGCTTGCCAATAAGGTAGGATCCTGAATCTTTCTGGAAAAAAATCACTGCTTACCAACAACAAAGTGATGTTAAGATCTGGAATGGATACCAGGCATGGGACACATATATTTTCCTTCTTGTAGATAAGAAGAGTCTCCGGTTTATTAATGAATGGCTGTTCAAAATCTGAGAAGGAAAGAATGTAGAAAATGTAGAAGGTGGAGGGAATTTCAGCAAAAAAATAAGGATAATGTGATGAGTTTCTAGAATCTGTTTTCATTTTTTAGTTAATTGCTGTAAGGAATGATACCAAGCTTGGAAAAATAAATAAATGTATAAGCACTTTTATAAAACATGATCCAAACTGTGGAATAGGAGTGTTTAGATATTATTCATATTTATGTTTGTGTTAGGCTTGATATAAACTTAAATTCCATGTCTGTAATTACTATATAGGGTTCGGGCTAGGTTAGGTCAGGTCATATCTCTATTGTACTTTCTCACACTTCATAGCCAAAGCACATAAAAATCAAGTGAGATGGTAAGAGATTTCTCTATAGGCAACCTTACTTGGACCAAAACAAACTATTTTTATTCATATGGGATTATGCTAATGCTTAGTGCTTCAATTAAAAACTCCAACCCCAATGTTTATCGTATACAAGTTATCAGATGGTTCTCACAAACATGCCATCTCATGGGTCACCATCTCATTGTGGAAGTGGACTCAAGATTTACTTATAACAATAGCACTTAGACTTATATACTGCTTCACAGTGTTTTACAGCCTTCTTTAAGCAGTTTACAGAATCAGTGCATTGCCCCCAACAATCTGGGTCTTCATTTTACTGACCTTGGAAGGATGGAAGGCTGAATCAACCTTGAGCCAATGAGAATCGAACTGCCAAACTGCGAAGTAGCCTGCAGTACTGCATTCTAACCACTGTGCCACCGCGTCTCTTATAATTTGGATTATGTATTTTGTTCTAATTTTGAATTAAATCATGTCTTTTCTACTATTGCCTTGGTTAGTGCTAATAAACTAAAATCATGCCGCTCCCCAAGGTGAGGCTGGTCCCAACCCTTCTGTAAGGTCCTCTCAAAGCATGTTTTGCCAATGAGCCTGGGAATCCCATAGGGGGCGTGCATAAGCGCACCAACGTGCCTACTGTCCCTGTCCTATTGTTTCTCTTATTCTTTTATTTTTCTTATATGTACCCATTTCATGTATCCACAACTATGTATACACTTATACTTACTATCTTGTAAACAATTGGCAAATCAAATAAATAAATAAATAAATAAATAAATAAATAAATAAATGTTTGAGTAAAGCCTTTAGATGGCTGTATGACAGTTATCCAGATCCACTCCTCTATGCTTTCTGGACATGCTGCATTTTTTGTAGTTTCTACCTTGGTTTTTATTAGTTATTAATTGAAATTGTATTTTATAATTGTTTTTATGTACTTTATTAGGTATTCCCCCCAGCCCCCAGTCACTATGTAAGATGGATGGCTATACAAATGTAGATAAATAGACAAATGGTAAAATCCCTACTGTGCCCAGTCAAAACATCGGGACAATAAAAAAACCCACAGGCTTCTCTGAATAAAAACCTTAACAATTCAGTGTTTTGTTAATATCTGTGTGACATACAACGGCTACAGGATAATTAATACTTATCACTGCACAGATGTACAGTGATGTACATAAAAAGTACATTATATGCAGATATAGTAAAAGTACGAACAAACCCAGGCACTTAACAATTGGAAAATAGTTGCATTGAACTGCTCTCTATAAAGCACTACACACATGGGTAGTACTAAATAAATAAGCAGTCAATTCACATTTGACTTTAAATAATCCCTTTTATAAAAATAAATAAATGATGAAGCATATATTGGAAATTTAAATTTTATTTATTTATTTAAAATAGATATTCTTTCCGACGGCTTTCAACCTGAGTACATATATTCCTTCTAGTTGATGGCTGGCTTGCAAGAAAATCTCTATATTAAGTGATTCAAGAGAGTAACAGCATTTTTATTTAGTCATTTAGTCATCCAGTCACATGGAACATACAAAGTTACAACTAAAATACCTTGAAAATTAAAAATAACACTATAAAACACAAAGTGGCAGAATCACTAGAGGGGAAAGGAAAATAACGTTCATCTGACAATATTATATAAATAAACTGATTTGGGCATATGAGATTTCTCTTCTGGTCCCTGGATCACAAATCCGGGTGTCATTTATCATTATTACCTTAAATCTGCAGAGAGGATATTATCAGCAAATTGAATGGTTTTAAAGGCAGATAAAATCTAAGGATGTATTCTCATAGCTGTTAAAATAAAATGGCTATGGAATATTTGATGTTGGTCTGACAGTCTGATAGAAAGGCAAACATGCCTCAACTTCTCAGTCTGATCAATCTTTTCCAAGAGGCTCATGTAATCTACAGAAATTGCAACACACTGAAACCTGGCTACCATAGGAAACCGACAAAGCCCCACTCTGAAAGACTGAGAGGGAGAGGATGATGATGCCAAGGACTAATGAAGCATTGACTGGGTGGGTGAAATTCTGAGGAGTTAGGAGGCAGAATAAGGCAAGCATGTCTATCAAAAGGAACCTTCTAGCACACAACTCTATAGAAAACAGTACAAAACTACTGTCACAACATTTTCTCCGGAGCAGCTAAATTAGAAATTAATTGGCCTAGATAGCAAAACCGTCGTAAGCAATAGAGAATTTTTTTGGGGGGGAGGGTAGAAGAATGGAAGCCCAATCCCAGATCTGCAGAAAAGAAACTGTCCAAGGCCTCCTTTATCCTAAACCAACCTTCTCTGAAGTATTCATTCTTACATTTTTTCCCCAGAAGCTCATTATTTCCTCGAGCCCTCAGCTTACTCTCTGATTACACTGACAAAGAGCAAAATGGATTTATAGACTAAGAAAACAAATTTACTTCATCATCCTACAATTGTGCAAGGTCAATTTAAGGTATTTCCCCCCATCCCTGGGCAATGCCGTACATCAGCTTCTTTGTTACTAAATGCTTCTGACTGGAGGTTTTGGATTTTATTCCATCTCTGTGTTTTTATATAAATATTCCTCCAGGATGGATTTGAAGAGCAGCCACAGATGTTCATAGCAAAGACCAAGGGCAGATTAGATTAAGAAAGAACTAACATTTGTGAGGGGAAATTCCTGCCAAACTTCTAATGCCTCTGGCTATTGTTATTTTGAGTTTGTTATCGGAGAATGGTTTATTTTGACATACCAGCAACAGTTGCTCAGTGGGCAAACCACAAGAGCTCAGCATTAATTGGCCATATTAAATTTAGATTGGATTCTAAATACCCAAAGTCCGTGATCTACACTAATACCCAGATAACTCAAAAGCAGTAGCATTCTTTCAAAGTGAGCTCTTGTCTCCTAAACATTGCGATACCTCTATCCAAAGGAAGGGCGAGATGTTGGTAAGTGAGGCATGTAAAACAGATCCCAAGATGTGCTTAAGGTGAAGGGAAAGAGATTCCATCTTGTGCATGGGAAGAAGTAATAGTTAACATTATTAACGCCCAGAATACTTTAGTGTGGTTCAAAATTTGGGGGTTATCTACGAGGATATAGCTGGCAATATCTGATGGTGGTTCCAAAATTAAAGAATCCGTGAGGGAAATGGGTGGTCTAGAAACATGAAATACAAGCAGTCCTTGTTGTTCTCTGAACTTGGTTGTTTTCTTCAACATTTCATTAGCCAAACTAGGTAACATCATCAGTGGTAGTCAGTGATGATGTTACCTAGTTTGAATAATAAAACGTCTGCAGGAGAGCACCAAGAACTAAGTCCGGAAAGCATCAAGGATTTTTCATTTCAACCCTGAGCTACAACTATTCTCCTTTATTGGTAACATGAAATATAAACAAATGATACATTTTTCAATGTACTTTGCTCCAACTGTGCTCAGTTATACCTTAAAAGATTTGCTTCCAATAGTAATAAGACTGTTGTTCTGCTGAATTCCATAGCACTGAAAGTAAACATGCTAATTGACCTGAGGAACATGAGACTCAATCATATATATGTGTGTGATATGTTTTATCACATCGTATTTGGCCTTGGCATAGTTCCAGTGTGGCAATTTTGGTTCCCTCCTAGATATATAGAGTGGCATTGTTGCACAATAACACATATATGTGAACGATCAGTCATGTGACCACATGTTCGCTAAGTCCACATGAATGTGATATGAACGTCCTTGTTTCATCACTTAGATATTCCTAATTGCACCAAGATGTTTCTCCTCAAGAAACAAAAGAAAACTGGCATATGGAAGGGGAAGCCAGTTATAGAAGGAGGATTTCAAAGAGAGAAGTGATAGGCAGGAAAACCTTCCTTTTTTTTCTATTATGAAATAACTCTTAACTCTTACAAATCAAAAATTGCATCTGAGCTCTATTACTAAATAGATTATTAGTTAATTATTAGTAAATAATTAAGAGTAATTGGTAATGAACTATACTTCACAGATTACAAGAAACTCAGCAAGATAAATGCATAAGACATCACATTTGCCTCTGCCTTATTATGGACTCTTATTTTGGACACACAAAGCCAGCATGCAGAGTTCGTACAGGATATGGTAACTACATTATACATGAAATATATATCTGGTTGTTGATGCTTATCAATGTTGCTAGTCTGGATCCGAGAATGGAGAACAATACTGAATTATGTAACATACCATCTTGATTGTATGCAAGAATTACTCAGATTAGCAAAGGATATGGAAGGAAATTAAGCGAAATGAAAACCTTTGGCAGATATTTTATTAGGATTAAATAACTATATTAGTACTTTTCATCCTTAAGTTGTCACTTCTTACCATTGTATATATTTATCTTACTGGTTTATTTTTCTGATACTTTCCAACAAAGGCTGACTATTTGTGCGGTAACCCTTAAACAAGAATCTGGAGCAAACACAGTTCTTTTAGTTAGTTTCCAAAGTTGAAGTGAATAGGTATTTTGGTATTTTTAGCACTGTATTATATTTTTCATTCCATCTGAATACAAGCAGTGGTAGCTTGCATTATTTCACCATGTTTGATCAAACTTATATACAGTACATATAAAAATAATTCTTCATATCGAATAAACTATGTGTTTTAGATAACAATTATAAAAAGATTGAGATAATAAATACAGATGTTTTTCTGCTAATCCTATTGTTATGTATTATGTTAGCAAGAAAGTTTACATAAGAGTCACATATTTCAGATAAAGAGGTTTTGATCTGAAAGAGCTATAGTGCACAATCTTTCTTAATTTTAAACTTAAGATACTATTTGAATGGTACTTAGTTCACTAGGCAAGTTATCTTCTTTAAACATGGATAAAATTACAACATTCTGGAAATCTTGAAAAATCTATCATAAATTATGATTATTAAAAGCAATGTGTAAGAGGGGTGGGGAAGGAGAGAATCTTTCCTTAACATATCTAGCAATGCATGTTTTCATCTCTTTCTGTTTCCATTTTTATCAAAACAACTTATTATTCTATATCCAAAACAATTTGTTTAAATTAGCAGCGGTATCCTGGGCCACTACTGTATTTCTAGGGCATCATAGAACCGAAAGCTCCTGAATTCCAGGACAACAGAAGCATCCACCCCAGGCACCAATGTAATTCAATCCCACAGATAACAGGCTACAGCTACAACAGTATCTATCGCACAAGAGGATGGATACTAATTTGTTTTTAAAACTTGCCCTCCCTCTGTATTTGGCCAAATTTAACCAGTTGTATGCAGATGACAGAGGGATACGGCAGATAAATATTTAGAATGCACAGAGGTGGATTGCAATTCTACATAGGTGCTATAACGAAAGGAATATTGTGTTCTCTTGCAATCTGGGATTGTGGGCAACCGTTCACCTTTCTTCAAATACTGTTTGCAGATATTTCAAAAATTTCAGAATAACATCAACAGCCTTTTTGTCTTTTTGCAATCAACTCTTTCTTTTGTTGAAAGTATAGTTAGGCAAAAAATAGGCTATAAACACAAATTGTACGTTCTGATAACTGGCTATATCAGGACCAATAATTGATTATCTGTTGTTGTTTCTAAGCTACCCAGCAAGGGAAGTTCTCTGTAGAGTGCACAATCAAAAATTGAGACCTGACAAAGCTGTGACATTCTGATTAAGTGGTCTTTGATCAAATGTTGTATTGAATGAGGGGGCACTCCCTCAATTTCCCTTGGTCAGTAGAGGCAGATGTGTTCTTCTACAAGCTTTGGCTGATCACCCAGATGAGGCTGTTAGTAGAGAAAATTAGTTAAGTACTATGATTCCTTCTCTGGTAACTTCCTGGAGGAATCTAAGCATGGCATAGTGGGTAGAATGCGGGTCTAGTAGCAGATAAATTGAGCTTTAAGTTCTCATTCAACCATAGAAACTCAGTGGGTGATTTGGGGTCAGTCAGTTCAGCTTATTTCACAAGAATTATTTTCCATGTGGGAAAAAAACTGAAAGATGGAAGAAAACATATGCCATCTTAGTACCTACAGAAAAAAGTGGGATCTAAATTCATGAAATAAAGTATTTTTCATTAAGCTTTCCTTGAAGATAATCTAAAAACTCTAACGAAAAACTTAATTGCCAGACGTTTAACCACTGGGCTTGATGGTTCATATATTTCCAATATTAAAATAGTGCACAGGTTGCCAGTTTGTTTTCAGCCCTTTTCAGTATGTTTCCTATCTCATAAGTATACAACAGGGTATCCCATAAGGCTACACCCAAAGTGCTTTCCTTATCATAAGTGCCTTTCTTATCAGACTTATGCTACATAATTACAAATAATTCCTGAGCTGTGGAATGCCCTTCCTAAAGAGATATGTCTGGCTTCTAATTTACTTTTTTGAGACATTCCAGATACATTTTTCCCCAGTGCATGGGTACATATAAAAAAAACCCTCAGTAGATCTTAAAGTTTAATGGAAAAGTTATTATCTTTTGTCATCACAATTAGATGTTAGCTTTATTGTATTAGATTAACTTTTCCAATCATTTATTATATATGTGATACATTGCCTATGAATCTGTTTGAATAAAGTTGTTACTACAACTGAATAAAATGAAAATATATAAATGGGGGAATCCAATTATCTGGTGTGACTGCAAAATCAGTGTGTTTTATTTTTTTGAAATACTTTCTACTTATGTAGGCAACAAGGAAACAACCTGGCATAGGAACCTGATGGCAGTGTTGCTAGTTAACAAGCACAATGACAGATAAATTTCAGGATAGAAATATTATAGTAAATTTTCCCATGACAATTTCTATCTTGCATTGCTCAAAATGATGCCGCATTTCCATTTCAAAAGGCGGGATCATCTCTCTTTTTTTTAAAAAAAATAAAAATTTAAAGTGAACATAAGTTATCCTACATCAATCTACTTCTTGAATAGTGAATTGCCATCACATTGTAAAAAAGCTTTATTACAGCTTGTGGCCAAGGATTTAATCTGCATGGTTTGGCCGAGCAAGTTTTTTCCCCCCTCTTACCTCTCACAAACACGTAGGTGCTGACAGCAGTGGTGCCTTCTATTTTGGCATTGATGTATTTGTAGTGACAGCGGTAGTAACCTGTGTCGTTGGCCTGAGTCCCAGTCAGGGTCAAGGCTTTGCAATAGGGCTTTGCATCAGTGCCCTCACAATCTTCTTCCTTGACTGTTCGGATGCCGTTAACGCTCACTATCTCTGAGTCACCCTCCTTTCCCGTTTGCACAGTGTCTTCTTGAATGCCAGGCCACAACCATTCCAAAGGATGCTGTCCTCTTTATTCAGCCAAAGGAAGAAGAGAATGTGGGTTAGATGGATTGTTACCATGTTTCTGTCTATGACAAATCTTTTGTTCTAATATTCCCGCCTCCCATTCTTTCTGCCAGCAAAGTCGCATTGGAAAGTTTTCTAAACTGTAATAATGGCCTTTATGCTTCTTACATTTTCCTGTTGCAAAGAGGAAAATAGAACTACAATTTGCAGAATATTCTGGAATGAAGAGATGACAGATGAATGAATGAATGAATGAAGGGAGGGAGTGAGGAAGGAAGGAAGGAAGGGAGTCCATCCAGTCAAGTCTCTGAAGGAGCCATGGTGGCACAGTGGTTAGAATCCAGGATTGCTGGACTCTGCCCACAGCCAGTAGTTCAATCCTGACAGGCTCAAGGTTTACTCAGCCTTCCATCCTTCCGAGGTTGATAAAATGAGTACCCTGATTGTTGGGGGCAATATGTTGGCTCTGTAAACCAATTAAAGACTGCTATAAAGTCTAAGTACAATTGCTATTCTAATGCTATTGTATAGAGACTATGCATGCCAGTTGGACCAAGTAGCAAGGACTAAGGCAGATATAAGTGGTGGTAGTAAAAGAGTCAAGAAAAGCTAGATGTTTACCAATGCTAGCTTTCCAATTGTGAGGTTTGTTTTGGGTTTTTTTGCTAATCAGATTCCCCCATGTGTCATGTACCAGGCTCCAAAGCAATGTGATACTTTACTTTAATTCAAGCATTGAGAGATTCCTTCCATCTGTCTCTAAATTTTACAGCAGCTTTCCTCTATTCACTGTTCTTTAGGTGTTTTGAAGCATAAGTCTCAAAATTTTTAACCAGCATGGTCAAAGTTATACTTAACAATACACATGAAGGAAAATAAAAGGGAGAACCAACATTGTAAGGTACTGCAGCGCTTTGCAGACGTATTCATAGTTCAGCACACACATTACAAACTTTTCGGCCTATTTCCTAGATGTCAGCTAGAATAAAAATTCCAATTACAGTAGGGAGAAAGAGAGAGATAGAGAGGGAGACCAGTTAAAGGCTCCTAGCTTTTTAATTTTGAATACTGACAATTGTTCAGGTTTTTAAAAGCCAAACTTTCATGCTTCTAATAATATTTGGCTGCTGCCTATTCATAAGAAGTAGGGAGAGGAGACTGGTCAAATTTTCTCTTCTCTATAATGACAGATACAAGCTGCCACTGATGTCATATTATCAAATTGTAGATAGCAGTAACTTACACCTCTTTCGAAATATTTGCTGATTCGACTGATACTTGAACTTGCATAAAATGAGAGGAGGGTAGCACCCATTTCTTACACATTTCTGCTGTCAGTTTCCATAAGATAACTACATGGAACTTTTTTATCATGCTCATACTGAATATGCATATAAGGTTTCGAAAGGTATTTTCATAAATACTTTAACCCAGCCTTAGAATGTTATGAAATTATCTTCATCTGAAGTTCTTTGAGGATCCAAGCCCTATTTGCATCATATTAGAATATTTTAATAAATAAAACACCATTTTTCACAGTGTCAACTAGATGCCGCACCAGTGTCAACAAGAAATGTATTGGTGCCTTAGCTTATGTCTCCTAGCAATCCACAGTGACACCATTTTAATTCATCATGCTGCATAACCCCAAGCTCTACCATTAAGTTATGTATATCATACAAACATGGAAAATGTTTTAATTAAACAAACTATGGTTCAGTTTATGATGGATAAAAAACATCATGTAAGACTAGCTAACTGAAAGGCTGTTTTCATTTCTAGAGACAGTCTGTGCTGATCATGACAGTTAATGGACTACTTCTTCATAAATCCTCCTTTAATGCAATTGAAGTTCATTTCCACCACTATGCCTTATGCTAGAGAACTCTGTAGGGAGACACATGCAATCACCAATTCTTTATTGTACCACTTCAAGAATTGCAATTCTAAAATTAATCGGCTGATTTTATTTCAGTGCCTATAGGTGAAATCAGAGTACAGAAAAGACTTCTGTGCCATTATGGTGTAGTGAATTTTTAATGTGGTAGCATAATCAAGACAAAGTAAGTAGGTTGGAAGGGATCTTGGAGGTCTTCTAGTTGCCCTCATACCATTCTATACATGTTTTGAGACCAAAGAAATATTTATATGTGGCACTTCACAAAGCCTCTATATGCACTGCACAAAAATCTCAGGATGGGGATACAAAAAATAGATGATTCTTCTGTAAGTGTACAGAGAATAGAGGATCTGAACTTTGTAGTAGGCAAGGGATAACAGGCACAAATAACCTTACAAAATTCTTTCTCCGCGAATTTGTAGTTTGGAAGCACGACGTAATCATATTTTAATCTTGTTGTCTTGATCTGAGCATATCAGGTTATTATCTCTGGATAAACTGGATCAAAACAAAGGGAGTGGCTCTGCTCTTTAGAGGGCAGATCAGCCTCTTTACTTTGGCAATAGCAACTTTTCATATAAGATTCCAGTCTGGAAATTAAAAACTTTGCTCTGTCCTATGAGACTTTGTCATCTAAATTATTGCTTAATGTGATTTGAACTAAAAATATGTTCATATAACTGCTTTCTCTTCTTTGGAGGAAATATGAAATAAAAGGCTTTACTTACTCAGAGGAAATGTTGTTTTCTTTTTGTTGATGTCCACCAGAAATTCCTAATACAATGCAATTGTATGACAACTATGTAGTAACTAAATATGTATATACTTGAATGAACGCTGATTTTAGGGCTTATCTAAAGTAGGAACTAATCAGTGTCAATACTATGCCCATACTGCACAAGAAATCTCTTACTCAACAATTCAAATTTAAAAAATCAGAGCAAGTATGTATGTAGTTCTTGCTAATAAACAGGTCATGACTATGCTGACAAACTCTTGAATTCAGATACAGTATATATTAGATGCAAAAATCTGGCAGGTCAGTGTGCTGTACACTTTATTGATACAGGTTTTATCATGTGGAAGGCTAATCCAAATAGTATCTTCATTTTAAGTTGCTATAGTGAACTACAAAATGTTATTCTTTGTTTTACACAAAGTGCCAAATTAGTTTGAAACATGAATACTCCTACATATATAACTTTCCCTGTTATTCTATCATTATGCTGTGAATCTATGCAGTGTTCAAAAGAGTTATTTGCACAGATATTTCAATAAAATTAACACTGTCTATATCTCCTTGCTGCCTCAGTTTTGCAACCAGATGTGGCAGTCCAAATTACAAGTCTTATTTCAGGTATTCCTAATGAATCAATTTAAATTCAGTCTTTTCAGCAATGCTAAAGATAACAAGAGGTCTCCAACATTTCAAAAATCACATCACGCACAGATGAAGCAGCATGAAAAACATTCATATTTGATTCTTACCTGCAAGTAATATTTAAGGTCTCCTTAACATTGATGATATACTCCTCTTCTGTGATGCTGAGAATGGGTGGTGTCATAGAATAGCCACTAACCATATCTAGAGAGAGAAATAAAAATGAAGTTCATGATACTATCTAATAGATTATCCAATAATATACTCTTTAACATTAGTATTGAATATAATTCAATATAAATACATTATCGATACATTAGTATTGGCTCTATCATATCCATGTCATGGAATGGCTTCATTTTACCGGGCCTTATCTGCCTCAGCTTCAAATTCTCACAATGGAAGAATGGATGGTAAAGATGATGGATTATTTAATTAAACAGACATATTTATCTAGTTTGGTTTCTATTTGGAAACCACTTCTGGACTTTTTGCTTGAAACTAGAAAAAAATATATTTGAGTCTAGGTTTTGATTATTAGAATGGTTTTGCCATTACAGAAATAACCTGAAGTGTTTAGAAATGTAAAACAAAAGGTTAAGGTTATAGTTTTTTTCTACTGCATTGAAAAAAGTTGGAAGTCACTACTTTTTTTCTCTTATTCTCTTTCTAACCTTTCTTCTTTTATCTTTCTAACATTAGCTTCTTTTTGTAATTTTATCTTATAATAAACTTTAATGTAATTTAAAAAGTAATGTTTGATGGGTAGTTTAGTATTATAGATGGCAGAAATATCTTAAGTATTCTGATAATGGCAGAAATCTTCCCTCAATGTGACCCCACAGTGCCAGTTCATATCAGGGATCCTATATTTTAAAATGTGAATAGTGTGGATTTGATTTAGTGTATTTTGTAATTGCAATCACTGTGGTTAGTAAACCATTGTTTGACTTATTGTCAGTAAGTATAGTCAAGTTGACTATACATATATGTCTATGCATTTGACTAATTTTGGTTTATTTAACAGTTATGATTAAAAAATTCCTAGCTATATTCTTCTCTCATTAATGGAATGGTGACTAAGCCTTTTTCTCAAACACTGCTTGTTATTATAAATATGGTCTGTCAGCCCTGTAATACTGTATCCTACATTTATTCAGGCATGTTATGGTCCTAGAATGGTCTTCATAAATTAATTGTTTTAGACCTTTGGCAAATGGAATCAAAGAAGAACATGGGTCACCCAATTCTGCTCTTTGCCTGTGACTGCCTCACATTGTTAGAGGAATTTATTGTTATTGTGGTTTCTGTGTTGGAAAACACATAAGGCACTAAAAAAATTCCTTCTTTCCAGCAAGGAAAATTCCCGAGAATGAAACAGCCTGATATTAAAAATACTGGAAGATCTAAAGTTCTAAATGGGGATAAAATAATGCAATATTTATAAATATCATAAATAATTTTTAATTACACCATGGCCAAATGAACTTTAAATATTTGCACTTCTTGGCCAGAGTATGTTTGCATGTATAAAAATGGGAGTTGATGGAACAGCAACATCAAAGAAAAATACAGTTCCTGTCTCTACCCAAAATCAAAATGAATTGCAATCCAGTAAAAAAGGTAAGATATTCCTGAGAAGTAAAATAAAGTGTATTTATTTATTTGGAAACTAGAATTCCCATAGATTGGTGAGAAATGTGCCAGTATCATCTAAGCTACACTTTGTCCCAAATTGTAACTCTAAATGCTCTAAAAAAGGAATCTTCCCAATGGTAGTAAAAGCAAAGCTATTTGATTAATTTTGGTCCACTTTCTATAGATACATCATAAGTCTTACATGCCTCTTCTGATTGACCTATTCATCTCTCAACAAAGTTTTTATTGTAATAAGTGTTGGAGTATTGCAGTAATAATGATAGTAGTAGCAGCAGCTACAACAATATGAAATGGTAGGAAGGAGGCAGACACTTCCGGGATTATTACAGTGTTAATTAGCTATTCTTTTTTTTAATCCTTTGTTCAAGGCATTTAGAATCAAGCTTGAAGTTGACTTCCCAAAAGAAACAAACCAACACTCTGTTAAAAGTGGTAGGAATACTTGAGATACATTAAAGCCGAATACTAGGACATTTGCAGATTGCTGTAGTTTAGGTACTTGATTGGTAATTGACTAGGACCCATAGAAAGCAAATACCAGTTGAAACATTTGAACTTAGATTGTCACAAGGCATGCCTATTTGTCGGGGCGGGGGCGGGACAGGGACTAAAGAGTGACATAAAAACAAATGACACTATTATTAAATCTACGTGGATTGCACGTAGATTGTATCTGTCAATTTCATTAAGGGAAGAAAGTAAGCTGCTTTCAATGCAATGTAAATGTAATAACAAATATAAATATGTCACAAGAATTCCTTTTTCCTGCCTAGTTGTGTTTAATACTATTAAATTTGGAACACAGGAAGTGGTGATGTAGAGATATCCTCAGAAACCTATCTGACTTAAAATGTCAAACAAGCATGCTCTAAAAAGTATTAATATTAATAATTTTCAGCAGATTTAGCTGTAGTATAGGAAAGACCAGCTTGATTTCCCATGGCACAGTGCTGCATATACCCAGACAGCTGACAGCTAACAAGGACTGTTAAGCAGAAGTCTCCTTTTGATTAGACATTGATTACATCATGGGAAGATTAAACCATTTTTCTTCCCTTGCTGGAGCTTCCAATGGGTCCATCTGAAAACTATTGATATGTTGTGAGGTGAATTAACTTTTGAATTAAATAAATGAAGAGAATATCCAGATGATATTGTGTAATCTCCCTGCCTCCTTTGCAGAATGTTGTAAGAGAATCCAGATGTTGTCTTTATAACTCTCCTACACTTTCCCACCTTTTCTTTCATCTTTTTTCTTTCCATAAATATTCCAAGGAAAAGATGAAGCACTTGCCTAATGAATTTACCTGGAAGCAGCCTAAATCTATTGTTTCCTGTCAGCAGATGGACGGTTTATTCTTTTGATCCTCATTAAAAATGATCACAAACTTGAGCCTTTAGACATTTGGAGAAAATACCTCTACTGACATATGTTTGGGAAAAATTCTGGACAAAGAATTTTATAACTATCTGGACTGAACACAAAGGCTGAATCCATAGATCGAAAGACACCTAAAGCCTAACAGATGCTGGTTACATCTCTCAGTCTCCATCAGCACTAGATATGCTGACTCTGGCTGCTGGAAAGTGGAATGCAATAACATATGGAAAGCCATACTTTGCCCAAAACTATAAGTTATTATTTGTACTGTAATTGCAACTATAAAAGGAATGCTTTCTTGCTAGGAAGAGGAGGGCTACTGATGAAACCACTGCCTCTTTCAGAGGAAGAACACCAGGGAAAAATCTTAAAACTAGCTTAGGCTAAATCATTAGCTAAAGAAAGATGAAGGATTTGATGCTGTTTTTTTCTCCTCGGCACAGTAATCTTTTAATTTTTTTTTACAGTGTTTAACTTGTAAACAGTCGAGAGTTATTTCTGAGCGGACAGACTTAGAAACTGACCAATTAAATAAATTAATTAAATGCATTTCAGAAAGAATTCATTTGTTAATATTCAGCTGTTAATATTCTGTCAGTGGTCAGTATAAGGCTGTTAAATTGTTATTTTGGTTAAATACTGAAATCATTTTATAAATAATTTCATGCAACAGACAGAAATTTTATACTGATGACAGATCCTGCAGTGCAACTTATAGATGTATATGTACAGCATGTGCATCCATATATATGCTCACAGGTCTATGAGTCTTGCAGTGGGGATTAGATTAAATTAATTTATAATGACAGTGAAAAAGAAAAGTGCTGTGCATATTTTATTTTTAAAAAATAAATTCAAATTTAAAAAGATTATAAATTTCCTCCTGCTTTTAAAGTTCTGCAGGATAAAAATATGGGGTGTTTTTAATTATTAACTTCTATTTTTCATTGGCTGCATCAATAGTAAAAGACCCACCCAAGCCAATCTTCTAAAACTAGAAAAGGAAACTTTAAGCACAATAATGTTGCTCTGTTGTTTATAGAGAAAAACGTTAGTTTCTATATTCAGAAACTCTTCTGCCAAGCAAACTGAGGGTGAACACTCTTAATCCTTTTATGCTTGAAACTAACCACACATAAACTCTGAGAGTCCAACAAACTAATTTTTTACACAGAGACTCCTTCCCTTAGTTCCTCATAGAAAAACAAGTAAGAGAAAAAGGTTATTTCAAACTCAGAGAGAGACAGACAGAGACAGAGAGAGACAGAGAGAGAACTATACAGATGAAAGGGTTAAGCATCACTTTATTCCTGCAGCTATCACTTAACAAGCCTTAGAAGAAAAGAGACCAAGTCTTTGGATGTCGTACAAAAATGTGTTCTTAGCAATGAAAATAAATGAAAACATTTTTCAGAAATCCCTTGAAAATATAATATTTTTAAATCAAAGTATTTCCAAGTCATTCTGAATACCAATCCACACTCTTAATATCCTGCTCTGGAGATATTTTTTCACTTTGGGGCCAATTGTGATGTCTAGAAGACTCAGAGCTTTGTATAGTCAATTACGCCAAAGTAAATGTCTAACCGTGACCATTTCTGCCATTGCTGTCTTCAATGGTTGGACAACAATATAAATTCTTAGAGAGGAAATGAGTATGGAAATTTGCAAACAAACTTCAATAGGCAATGAAGTAATGATAATATTTATTATAGCATTAGAGTTGGATCTTGCCCTTCATTCAGAAGTTCAAGGTAGCTACATAACATTCCATCCTTCGATCTCTGCCCACAACAACACTGTGAGGTAAGTTGGGCTAAGAGTAGGCAATTGGTCAAATGTTACCCAGTCAGCTTCTGTGGCAGAGGGTAAAGTGGAAAACATCAGTCTTCCTGTTCTGAGTATAAGTCTCTAACTACTACTGTATCATACTGGCTGTCCTGGTATCTCAATATAATAAAACATTGTGAAAAATAATTTGTGATGACTTGTTTCCTCTTATATAAGGCTGGATAAATGTCTTCCTTCCTGCACTGATCAACAGAATAGACAGCCTGTGCCCTTCTCCATATATTTCCCAGTTTTGCTGCAATGGCTTCTCTAGTACTATTCTTTAAGAGAAGAATTAGATCAGAAAAACAATGAGCCAACTGTTCACAACTCT